GCGGGGCGGGCGGGCGCCCCTGCCCCACGCAGTGAGTGCAGCGGCTCAGTGTCAGGTTTTCATCTTTAATTCACATCACAGCAGTCAGGGTGGGGGAGGAGGGTCCAGTGGCGGATATGTACATCTAAAATTGACAGTACTCGCGGGGTTTAGCGCATGCTACCACAGTATATACAGTAAAACACCTCTAGGGACACTGGTACAAATGTTTTAAACTTCGCTTTTCTGGTACAGGTAAGATCATTTTTAAATCACTTTTTCTTTAGATACGAATACACAAAAGAAATGGTTAGAAGTTTTCTCGTTTTTAAATAAGCACAGAATGCCAGAGGTTAAAAACACATTTATAGGGCTGAATACCAATTGGACATCACACTCTATACATTTTTTGCTCAAATTCCTGTACAAATACACAGCATTCAAATAGGTATTTACAAGTAAGCTTGAAAGAATGAAAATCAGTATTTCACAATCTTTTCAAAGGATTCTCATCATCTCTGGCCTCCCATTTCCCTTCTGACTGGCTGATTCTCCAACAAGAGATTCAGAATGTGTCCATGTCATACAGTGAGGGTAAATGGAAAGGGAAAACAAATTCGTTTCACCTTGCACAAAGCAAGGGCAACCAGCTTATACTCCCCCACCCGCTCGCTACCTGTACCACCAAGTGGAGAAGGTAGATGCTCTTACGTCATGACTGTCTTGTCCAGGGACCAAGGTTCAGGGAAGTGCCTGGAAATCTAAAGCTGCCGTCCTAAGAAATTACAAACCTAACCCCTGACTCGCTAACACCTGTGAACCCCCTATGATCCAAAGACTAAAGCCTGCAGGTGAGTCGAAGCTTAGCAGCAGGCCTACCCTTTGAGCTAGAGGCTGCTGACCCGTCCTCTCAGCAGCCTGACTGCTGGGACCGATGCTGATGGTTCGGAAAAAGCCTCACACTGATGATAAGACCCAAACAACCTAAAAGTAACGGCCTTTTCTCTTTCCCGGTAGGTTACTTGCTGGCATGTCTTAAATTGGCATTTGTTTATTCAAGAAAAACACCTTGACCATGGTCTTTTCTGTTTGGAAAGGGGCATGAAGAAGGAATGAAGGGCTAGGGGCCAGGGCAAGCAAAAGAGGGCTGGGTGGGGGGAGGAACATGCCTGCTGAACAGAGAAGGGAGAAGGGACTCGAACCATCAAAGTTGTGACCATCACTAATGTGAACTCAAGCAAATGAGATTTTGTCTCAAGACAGTTAAAGTAACTTAGAAGCACCCTGGTAAAATACTACTATACCCACCCCACCCTATTCCCCAAATAATACACCAAGAGGAAAATCAGTGCCCTGACCTGAAAGTTTCCTATAAAGACCCACTTCACCCTGCCCAACAGACTGGGGCGGCTGGAGAAACTGCCCTCCTGCCCACCCTGAACCCTGAGTGGTGGTCCCTCTGGGCCTGGAGCGGGGTGCTGTTCTTGGCCACTTAGGAGATGACAATTCTACCTACGTGGCTCTTGCTTCCAAAAGGAGACGTTCCCTCCCACCCTTTTTACCCAGGAGCTTGCTGAATCTGACCACATGTCCTCATGGCCTGGAAGCCTGGCTGGGCAGCCAACCCCATGGCTCAGAGGTAGTGCTGAAAATCCCTGATTCAGGAGCTGATGGCAGGCATTGTGGCCACTTCTGAAAGCTTAGAGGATTTCTGGCCCCTGCCACTGGCCTCTCTCTTACACTAGTTCTAACACATGGGAAGGGGCCTAACTCCGCCTCGGAGGAAGGTGGTTAGGGTGGTCCCTTTGACTGCTCCTCTCAACCCCGAGAGGGTGGGAGATGAACCCTGCAGATCCATTCACTACAGAGACTTCCACAGGTTAGGAGGTATCCAAGTGGAAGGGAGTGAATGGTGAGAAATAAAAGTGGCGGAGAGAAGTCCAAGGTGGAACAGGAGACAAGGCTGGCCCATGGAAACCTGGCAGTGTGCCCTGGGCATGCAGTTAGGCCAGTCGTGTGCCTGAGCTGGCAGGTTGGCCTGGCCAGCCCGTCAATTGCACACTCCAGGATGGAAGAGCTGGCAGGTGGGCAAGCGTTTGTGCAAAATGGCTTGTGGCCCCTTCAGCCACCTGTGACATGTAGTCCACGTGGTCCTTGCAATCCCTGAAGGCAACCATGAACTTTTCTGTCCATATAGCAAAGGAAGAGGTCCCTAGTGCAATTTCCGTTCTCTGCAGCTCTGCTGTGGATGGGGGGCCTGGGCTCCTGCTCCTGGCCCTGCAGTGTTGCAAAGCAATTCTGTCTAGTCTCTCCACATAGCGCCACGGGTCTGGAACTGCAGGAGGAGAGCATCTACTGCATAACGAAAGGAAAACCCAAAGAAATGGAAACGAAAAGTGAAAAAAGCCACAACCCTTCATGCTGCTGCAGCTTCTGAACATGGCAACACATGAGTTCACGGCAGTAGAACAGAGACTTGGGTGATTCTCTCCTGAGTGCCAAGCCTCTCCAGCTCCCTGGGGGGTGGGGAGGGGGACTTGCTTTTCACACCTGGAGCGGATTGGCGAGCTGCTCACTGAAGGTGGTGGTGAGCTTCCTCCCTGCCCCTCACTGTTCCCCTCGGCCATGCTCCCATGCCATGCGGGCCTGCTCCTCCTTGGTGCTCCCAGGAGGCAGTGAGGCCTTGCGATGCAGGCCTCTAGGCCTCTCAGCTTCTTCGCGCAGCAGCACGCCCTCGTCGTGCTCCAGGGCTGGCAGGCGGGGATGGTAGGGCTTGGGCGGCAGCGCAGGTGGGTCCATGGGGTCCTGAGGGATGACGCACCCTGGGGCTGAGTGGCTTCGACATGGCTGGGCCTTGATGGAGTCCAGGACAGCAGACTCGGAGAGACTGTAGTGGACAGGGAGGTAGGGTGGCTCAAGGTCTTCATCGCCATTCCAGGCCTGACTTGGCATGGAGTCTATGGTGTCGGTTCGAGGTGGGGCCTCTGAGGAGTGCCCAAAGTTACTCTCGCTCAAGGAGGACACACCGCTGCTGGCACTTCCAGACAGTGTAGAGTTGCTGCCGTCCAGGCCCGACTGGGGGCTGGTGGGGGAGGCTGGGATGGGGTGGAGAGGAGACTGTGCGAAGGAAGGGTGGGCACGTTAGAACCCTCTCTAGACAGACTGGCTGGCCACCACGTGGAGACCAGGAGTCTGCTGACCAGTGACTAACCCTCATCAGCTGCATGTTTCTTGTTTCTTCCCCAGAAACCCAAGGGGTACTCCTCGACCTCAAGCAAGCCAGTGGAGCTTCAAAATCATTTCTGTGGACCTAACGATGGCCCTGCCCTGACTACTTGGCACTGGTGCCCCCTGAGGCCGGGTCCCAGGCTGCTGTCTGTGGCTGTAGGTCACTAATGGAAGGGTTGGGTGATGAGGTCAGGTGTGGGGAGCAGAAAGGACACTGGTGGGCCATGGATCAGATGAATACGTTCTCCTCCTAAAATCTGTAACAGATCCAGTCTTTTCTGGACTTGCAAACAAACAGCAAGATTTAAATTTTACTTCTTGAGTGTTTTTATAAAGTTTTGGTGCATGGTGCTTCTTGCTGTCACTGGACTCTACTGTAAAAAGCTCTGTAATCCCCCTCAGGGGTGTTTACTTAGCCATTGGGCTACGGCACATTGATAACCCGTGGTGTTGGCAGAAAACCCCAAAGTTTCTCAGTGCCCCTCACCCACACGCCCCTGGTGCTACGCGTTGTCTTCAAGACCCTCTAATTTCCCTGTCCTCCCTGCATTTGCTGCAGGATGCACCGATCGACTGTAGCCATGTGTCTCGCACACCCGAGGAGAGAAGCAGGGAAGGGTTCAGTTTCCTTTTGAGAACCCCGGGGTGATTCTACAGCAGATGAGATGGTGGAGCTATGGCTTCAGTACATTACCTTGCGCAGGGTCCGGGCAGGGAGGGCCGGGGGGATGTCACCCAGAGGGTGGTGGAAGGCATCAAAGTGTAGGGAGTAATGACCTGCAAGGGAACAGAACCAGAGCATCAGGTGGGGCCCTTGCTCAGGCTGCACAGCAGCATCATCTCGCTGGGCCACCTGGGCAGCTGTGGAGGAGTCCCCAAGGGACTCTTGAGCATTGAAGGCCAGAGAAAAACTTTTCTTTACATTGATGATCTTCAGAACACAGGCTGCTGTGCTGGCCACACAGGTGACCAGGGAAGTTGAGTGCCCCAGAGCTTATGGAAGGATAGGCTGCAGGCAGCAGCAACTCTGTCCCACTGCTGGGTGATGACAGGCTGGTGAGTGGTGTGCCTGGCACGGCTGATTCCGTGGTCTTCAGCCTTCTTGGTTGGGGCGGCCTTACTGAGCTAATGTAGACTCGGAAACCTTATGGACCGCAAAGCTCAGCAGGAACTTGCCTGTGGTGTGCATGCTTTTTCTTTGGCTGAGTCTTCTCAGCCCGGATGGCTGTTGATCTGGTCCTTGAGCAGAGTCTGAGACCTAGGACTATGTGGGAGAACCCGCTGGAGGTCTTACCATGCAGCAGGCTTCGGGGAGGCACTGGGGGGGCCAGGATGCGCCCCATGTGGGCAGACAGGAAGGGCTGGGCCTCTTGGGCTCCGCTATCCAGACTCCAGCTGCTGAGGGCTGCTGGCACCACTGAAGGTTGGAAAGAGATGGGTGAATGGATTACTTGAGCCACTTTTTAAGCCTGTCCTATATAGCCTGCGGCTTCTCCAGGTGTGACCTGTATGACTAGCACACACAAAAATGGCCTGTCAGCCGGGAACTAAAAACACTGGCCAGCCCGGGCCCTGAGGCCCACAAAGGCAAAGGGCTAAGACTAAAGCTGCATAAAAGAACAGCAGCAGAGGGCACTGATGTTTGAAGAGCATTCGAGGTGACACAGCTGAGAGGACATACACTGGCCTGCATAGCTGCAGTTTCCGGGATCTGCCAGGAGAAGAGAGAACAGAAGCGGACAGGAGAGAGAAACAGGCTGAAGAGAATACAGAGTGCGGCTATGACTCCTTGCCGAAGTCAAGAGTCAGGGCTCTTCTACTGCCTGGGCCATGTGGAAAAAGCTGAGAGCAGGATGGAGGAAAAGCCTGCCTCCTTTCAGAGGCCCCAGAGCGTGGCCAAAGAGTGAGAAAGTGCTCTGTCCCTAAATGGTACCCAAAAGGGGCTATGGTGCCACTCAAACTTTGACCCGTCCCATGGCTGGGACTGGGATGCACAGGAAGTTTTTCGAGGCAAGGAGAGCTATTGAATCTGTCTGCTGGAGGACAGTGTAAGTGCAGGCATTTCAGCCCCTGCTTAGCTGACGGACTGCTTCCTGAGAGAAGGGAGGCCTATGAGCCTGTGAATGCTTTGGTTGTCTAGAGAACTGTCTGCACACCATGAATGGTGGTCGGCCCCAGACTTCAGAAGAAATCCAGTGCCGTAACACTGGGGCTTCAAAAATAGTCATGGTGAAAGACTACAGAAGGGAGAAGAGGAGTGACGACCGGACTTGGGGCCCAGCAGTCCGTTCTGGAGGTGCAGGAAAGAGCATGCGGAGCGTGTTGGTTGACCTCTCCTAGAGAACAAATACCATTTTTGGGTGGAGCCTGAGGCACCTAGAGTTTGAGCTCTTCCTGGTCCAGCCACTGAGTGGGGGATTTCAAGGCCTGACGGGAACTGTGGGCCCCCGGAAGGCAGGAAGCTAGAGCCTGGCCTTTGAGGGAGTGGCCAAGAGGGTTTGGGCCCATAGTGAACCAGAGATAGGAGAGCAATGTCCCTCTTCTTTCTCAGGGACTGCTGCAGGCTTGCAGCAGAACACAAGGTACAGTGCCACTGGCTAAACAGTCTCTGTTCTAAGGAGGGGTGCTTAGTTTCAGGCGCGGTAAATGACTGGCAGCAAGAAGGAAGGGCATGGCCGCCCTGGGCAGCAGCACACAGCTGTTGCCCGCAAGGAGGAAAGGATCCTGAATCTGAGAAGCATCAGGTGGACTCCATTACAAGATTTCTTTAGGGAGCCTGAGCCACCCCAAGAACAGGCCTCTCCTTGTCCAAGTTTTTCCCCAGCATGTAGCAGGGGCTTGTGATCCTCAGCGTGGAGGCTCTTCCTCACAAAAGCAAAGCATCATCACCATAAAAAGCCACAGAGCTCAGGGAAGAAGCTGGAGGTGGGTCTGAGCAGCTTTTCCAAAGGGATGCCGACAACCCAAGATCTCCGACGCTCACCTAGTCCCTGAAGAATTGTGGGGCTGCAAGAGTTTATTGCAAGGGCCAGGAAGGCTGTGGGAGGAGAACGCCGGCAGGGCTGTTCTGGTTGACAAAATGAGCCTGCATCGTGTGAGCTAGAAAGCACCAAGCTGGGCCTGTACCTGATAACTGCGAGCAGGGAGGCCGGCAACCTTCGCCGTGCAACACAGACACGCTGGGGCTAAGCAGAGGGCTAGGGAGAAAGGCGGGTCCCATTGCGTCCTTTTATCTTCTCAGTCTTAACAACTGTTTAGCACTGGCCTGAGGTTCCCGGTGCGCAGTCCCTGTCCCTGAGGGAAGGCTTGCCTGGCCTGGGAGTCACTGCCTGCCAGAGGCGGGTACCTGAAGGGAAGAGGTGCTGTCCTCAGGGTTAGGACTCTGACAAAAGAATGGTGACAGCTCTGGAGCCTTGGGAAGTCACCAGATGGCGTATATATTGCCACTGGGCAGATGTGTAATTTGCCATCCAGTAACGGCTGACCTTGTGGCGTGGACATGCTTGTTCTGGGCTCAGCCCGTTCTGAGACAACCCTCTCCCTCACGCGTAGGGTGGGCATGTCCAGCTTCTTACTGAGACCTGAAACTCTTCTGGGGTCCAGTTTGGGGAGCATCTCGGTCTGGCCCCCAACACTCATTTAAGCTTGAGCTTGTCTGTGCTCTTGGCCAGTTCTAAGACTGTTCTGCATCTTGTGTAAGGGAAAAGCCATTGTGGATTCTGGCCAAAAGGACACTTTGTTTAGGGTCACAGGTGCAGGAATCCAAGAAGCTGCATGCCTTCAGGATATGGAGGAAGGTGTCTTCAGAAGGCCTTTTGTTGCTGAGCATCTGGTACCAATGCTGAGCAGCGCTGAGGCTGTAGCCTGAGTACTCGGTCTCCGAAGAGGACGCAGAGGCCCCTGTCCTCCATGGCGAGCAAGGGAGGGACAGCGGCAGTGGGCACAGCAGACAGCACTGGTGAGCAGACGCAGTGACAACATGTTCTGGTGGGATGGGGTGACGGGTTGTACCGATGGGAACTGAGTATGCCCTACACCCAACAGGCGGAGGGAAGAGGAGAATCTGTCGGGACGGGACTGATCTGGGGCCAGGTTCTTGGGCCCGGATGATCCACACTATCCCAGGGGACAGGAAAGCACAGCACTGCCCCCAGTTAGGTAATGTTCTGTGTTAAAATTAACTCCGGTGTCTGGGGTTTCAGGCCAACACCACTGAGGCTGAAGGCCGGTTCTTTCATCAGCTTGCAGGAGGACAGCACAGGGTAAAATGCCAGTATCTAAATAGCCTCGTTCTAAGGAGGACTGCTCAGTCCATGGTATGGCTGATGGTCTTGCTGGCCAGAGTGGCTACAGGACGAAGGCACCCCTTTAGAGCATGCAGGGGTTCTCTAGGAGAAGCTTATCTTTAGGAAATTCTCTTTGTCATGGTGTGCATTTTGTATTCTTCTTGTGGCTTCTTTGGCCACAGGCATGTTCTGTGCTCCAAGAGAGGCCCAAGCTGAGAAGGAAAGGGACGACAGGGCTTGAATTCTGGACCTGCTAAGGCAAGCCTACAGGAGTGACTGCAGCTCAAGTTTCCATAAAGTTGGATTTGTGGCAGCTGGAAACAGGGGCTTCCTTGAAGGCAGACTATGGAAGGAGGGAGGGACACAGACAAACAGGATCCAAAGGTGATGTGGCTTAAACAGTGAGCAGAACCGGTCAGCACCCTGGACAGATCCAGAGACCAGCGCCTTAGGGTGCAGCCCCGGGCAGCTCAAGGATGAGTCAGACGCTCACGGTGTACACAAACATGGAGGGACTCCTAGAAAAAGAATACAATACCTTTTTCAGCCACAGACAGATTGGGATCACTGCAGGGTTTGCAGGGTCCAACCACTTGCTGGAACAAGGCCCGCTGGAAGTTTGGTGACTGAAGGCAGGAGAAAAATATCAAGAATGTGAAAGTAGCGTTCTGTCTTGGGGGGGCAGTGATATGGACCACAGTGCCAGTATGTTCTGAGAACAGGTAGGGAATCAAAGCAGTGGGATGGCTTGTGCTGGAGGTGTGCTGAGAAGGCCAGCCCAGCCTTGGAGAAGACTGTCCAGGAGCACCTGGTTCTGAGCACTTCTGTGGTCAAAGCACTACCCATGTTGTCTTATGCAGGGCCCAAGAGAAAGGACGTAAGTGTCTCTAGAATATTTACAGTTTGCATCATTCTGTTGGGCCAGGGAGTCCCACTGGCAAAAAAGATTTAAGGGCCTCCACTTTATCTGTGAACTTGGACAGATTTTGCTTCCTGGAGAGGCCCCACACAGTTTCACATTAGCACTGAGGGTAAAGAAAGGGCGGCACCCAAGTGTGGACTCACACGGCCCTGCTGTTCTGCTGGGGCCTTCCAAGCAGATCCATTCTTTCTGCTTGGTGCAGCTGATCGGGCTCAGGGTGTACCGGGAAGAAACTCCTGGCACTGTGGGGCTAAGTGCCAGTCACCCAGAGGTGACTTAGAGGTAGCCTGCCGCTGCATTCTGAGGGGAATGGCAGGAGCAGGCTACCGGGGCAGAGAGTTCATCACTACAGCTTCCTGGTCCAGACCTCCGGGCAGGCAGGGTGTTTAGAGAGCTGTGCAAGTGCCGTGGACAGCAACCCCAGAAGGCAGCGAGGCCAGACAGATAAAAGCGGCAGAGCCTACGTGGGTGTCCTGTGCACAGAAGGAGGAAGGACATGCTCCAGGCCTGTGTTTACCATAGCCTTCTTGGGATGAGTTGCAAAGAACTGTATTCCTCTGCCAGAGGAAGGTGGGCCGAGGGATCCAGAAAGCTGGCTAGAAGGACAGATAGCCACACAACCAATTTCCTCCAACCCTGGTGCCATTCTACCCACACCTGCAGTGCCTGGATCACCGGTCCTCAGGTATACTGTACTTCCATGCAGGAGCCCCACAGCCTTTTTATAGCAGAATGAGGGAGGCATGCAGGACAATGCTGAAGGCCCAGCAAATGCAATGAAGGAAGCCCAGCTCAACACACGTGTAGCCGACGGCATCTGTAGGCTGGGTTTGCTACCTGTCCGTTCTCCAGGATGGCTGCTGGGTACATGGCACTGCTCGGGCGGTCGCGGTGTGTGGGCAGCAGCAGCATCATTTCCCGGGTGTGGCGGTACTTATCTGGCAGAGAGGGAGAGCCTGTAACCAAGTGAGAACAATCACGCACAGATGACAAACCACAAATGGAGGGCCCAGTTGTCAAGTGTCCTCAGGACTGGGGAACCGAGGTAGGTATCCCCTGCAGGTGGGGAGAAATGAATTCGGCAAGCATAAGAGGAAGGAAGTAGAACCTAGTGGCTAGGTGGTGGTAGGGGCTGCACCTGGTATCCCAGCTGAGGCAGCCCCACTGATAGAGCGCCCCACCTTACGTTAAGAGGCTCAGGGTTATGAGAGCTGAGGGCTGGAATAGGGTGTGTAGGGGCCCCTGCACCAATGATTTCAAGGCCTGGGTGTGGCCTGGATGCTGGGCTTTCTCAGGGGGCCCAGGCATGGGCACGGGTCAGCTTTCAATGGAGCCATGAAAAGATAGAGTCCCTCAGAGCCACACATATTGGGATTCCATACACTTATCTTTTCCCACCGCCAATGGCTCTGTTCTCACCTGATTCCCTGCTACCTTTTCCCACAAGATGTCCCTTTCAGGTTTTAGACCCCCAGGTTCGATCTCCGCCTTCCTGCCAGTTCTATGGCAGCTTTACAGCCCGGGAGGCTGGGGACCCAGGTAGCTTTGAGACTTGACCTTCAGTGGCTCAGGGGTATAGAACTAATTTAGAAGTCACAGGGTTTTAACTTGGGCTCCTGAGCTGACTTGGTTCAAAGTCTCCTGTGAGGCCTCTGGAGTGACTTCCCCGGGTGAGATGGGATACAAAGGAGACTGGTCCACGCTGGTGTGGTGTGACCCAGTTCCCATGGATTCAGACCACAGCTATAGGGTGAAGAACTTGCCCATCTTTTGCAGAAGCAGTAAGAATAACTTGCTGGCCTTTCTGGGGTGTAGTGTGAATAGCCCTTGAGAAGTACACTGCTCACAGCCAGATACCAGGCATACTCAGGGAGAAGCCAAGGGGGCACTGGCCCTCTCGCAGGGAAGTCAGCTGGACCCAGGGCATCTGGTTGGCTCAGGTGGTTGAAGCCCCTTTGGTGTGTGCCCTGCGAAGCTGCAAGGCTGAGATCAGCCGCGGCTCTAGCTGAGGTGAGTCCTGTGCTCCCAGAGGCTCCGTGTGTCTGGAACCCACGCTCTCCAGGGCTTTCCCTCGAGGGCACAGGGCCAGCACCGCCTCGACGTGGCTAAAGGGAGACAGCGGGGGGCTCCTGCACCCAGTGCTTAGCTAGCTTTCCCCAGGGGCATTTGAGAAATTCCTTCTGTATTCCTTTTTGTTCAAGAAGAGGTTTAAATACTTTCAAGAAATCAGAGGATATAGGTCAGAGGCACAAGTGCCTGCCTGGCAAGCACAAGGCCCTAAGTTTGATTCCTGGTACAAAAAAAAGTCAGCCTAACAAATACTAGTAATGTAACTTCTCCCAGCTACTAGTTGTACAACTTCTTCCCAGTTGGTCTGAGTGAGCCTACTTGTAGACCTTCAGGCCTGGCCTTAAGACCTGGTTTTAAGAGAATGCGTAAAGTATTACAGTATTCCCTGAAAAACTGTGCCTGAATTTGCTCTAACTTTGTGGTTTTTCTGATTTCTATGTTTTCTTTTCGAACTTGTGCTCTGAGGCAACCTCAAGAAGATAGCGATGTAAAGAAAAAAGTAGAGGGGGCCAAATCCCACTGACCTGTGGTGTCCTCTCACCACGGGACGCTTGGGTCAGGGCTTGGGACAGGCCAGTCTCCACTGAGCATGCTCAATAAACAAAGAACAAACCCACGGTACCTTTACACCAAATGCCACATCAGACACCCATCTACTGCCCGTTCCGCACCAGATGGGCTGCGGGGACTTTCTCCAGGCTGTTCACCTCAACGCTCATAGGCTGCCGCAAAGGCCAATGCCACATTTGTGTACTCCGTACCCTCATCTATTGGAAGGCTGTGATAGAAGGACGTCACCCTCAGGCCCAGGGAGGAACTGAGACTCTGTGGAGGATTTGGATTCATTTTATGGTCGCCTCTCTGGTGCTATAACAAAGGAGGGCCACGGTAGCGTTTTATTTTCCAACTCTGTCCCCTCACTTCCCTCCCACTGCCCTCTGCCCTGGGCAGCCGATTCAGTGGTAGAAAAGAGACAGTTACTGTCCATGAAGACATTTAAATAGGGCTTTTGAACCCCTTCAGTTGTACTCTGATAGTCTCCAAGGAGGCTAAATCCCAGGGCGACTGGATGACGCAAAATCATGCAAAATCCATTTTCTACCTCGGTAACCTTTGACCATGAGGGGGCGCTGCTGACTCACGGAGTTTAGACTGCCCGCATGTCTCATCTCAGAGGTTTCCAAGGCAACCGCAACCACGGCAGTGTTAGTGCACACGGCAAGGAAGGCCACTAATCGCATGCTCACTCCTAGGAGTACGGAAGTAACTCCAGTGTAAAGGAATCTGCTTCAGGCCACCTCCACGAGGGCTCTCCCCTCACTGGTAACAAGAGCAGAGACTCCAAATGCAGGAGGCCGTCCCCTCCCTTCTCTGCCTACAGTGCATTTTCTACCGTGTGTGCCACATGTTTTTGGAAACATCAGTTTTCCCTTACGTCACACACATTCTTCTGTCTTCTCTCACAGGGCCCGACACTGCCCGACTGCCAGTGGGCCTCACACAGACCGAATGTTATGGTCTCCAAGTGACTTCCCCGCTTTCTTACTGCCTCTGCCCTGTCGTCATTCCCAGCTCTGGGCTCAGTTCTACTGAGCCATTTTATTTACTTCTGTACTCACTGTCTATCCCAGAAAGGGAAGGAGCTTTTTCTCGACGTTCCTCTGTGTGATACTCTAGAGTCTAGCCACTGTGATAGTTTGTCTTCAAAAATGGTGACCACTAAGTGCCTCACTTCCCTCCCAAAACATACAAGCCAGTCCTTACAATGCGAGGTGGAATCTCATTTCCTTTCCTGGCACTTGAGCTGGCTGCGAGTGACTTGGCTGGCCAACAGAAATGCGGCACAGGGACTTTCCAGGACATCCACTGCTGGATAATAAAGAGCCTTGAGATCCTGCGAGGTCTCTTGGAAGGCGTGCTCTGGGGAGAATCAGCAGCCATGCTGAGAGAAGCCTAATCCTCTTGGAAAAGTCAAATGCAGCAACACAAACTGACAGCCCCAGCTATAGCCATCCCCAACTGGATGTTAGTGAGCCATCCTGAACAACAAGCCCAGTTGGACCTTTAAGTGATTGTAGCCTACTTCTGACATAGTGAGCAGGGTTAGTTCTAAACAAGGAAGAGTTACTTTCTCGGTAATTCTCTTCCAAAGTCGCATTCCCTGAGGCAAGAGCCAGGCAGCTTCCTCACTGAGCACTCCGTGAGAGCTCTAGGCCTGGGCAACGGGGTAACCACCTCTCTGGAAGGGTAAAGGTGGTAACATCTGTCAAGTTTATAACATCCCTGACGTAGGATAGGGTCCCTGACAACAGCCATAGGACACAGGCATATCTGAGCAATACCAGAGTGGTACTAGATTAAAATGTCTTCCTTTTGTCCTTATCAGCAATCATGACTCTGATATTTGTCTTCATCAGGAATAAGCAGATTCAGACAAGATATAGATAAGCATATGTTAGAAGAGATTTTATGTTAGAGCAAACAACAAAACCAAGACAGAATTCTAAAATCTGTTTCTGCAGCTCTAATGAGAGTATTTTCCTTAAGACACTAAATATCAACCTCTGCTATAGCATTTATGGCTCCTTCTCCCAGTTTCCTTTTTATTTTCAGAGCGTTATGGTTTGTGTTTGGATGTCCGCCCCAAAGCCTCGTGCAGTCATGGGGAGGGGGCTTTTCAGAGGTGGCTGAATCTGGAGTTTGAATTTGACCAATGGTCCAATGCTGGGATTAAGGGTATGAGTGCTACACCCACCCTAGGGCGAGTAGCCTGCATACAGTCTAAGGGACAGAAGAGGCTTGTTCTCTCTCTCTCTCTCTCTCGCTTCTTTTGGAGTCTTCTGCCCCCACGAATGGTTGTCCCTCTGCATGAGCCACCTTGCCTTGGAGCCAGCAGATAACGGACTGAAAACCTCTGCACACGGTGAGCTAAATGAACCTTTCCTCCTGTAACTTTGGGTGTTGGATTATTTTGTCTCAGCAATGAGGAAAGTAACTGAGACACAAAGCCACCGTTCAGGGTGCTTATTTTACAACAGAAATCACCGTTGCTTCTCTGTTTGCAGCCTGTGCATACTGACCAGTCTTTAGCATGTACCATTCTGTTGGTTCCTTGTTTTATTTAACATTATGGGGTCTGTTTCCAAATCCTGAATCCTCTCGCCTGGCTCTCATAGCCCACGTTAGGAAGGCAACATGAGCAGTAGGTGGGTACGAGACGGTGGGCTGGTGAGTATAAATCCTGTGCTCCAGATTCAGCTTCCTGCCCTCTCACTGGACCTACCTCCCCCCAGGAATGCGGGGTTGGACTGGACACTTCAGGCAGAAGTCTGTGACTGCCCTTTCGGAACATTACACCCCTCCCCTCCCCTCTGCTAAGGCCTTTCTCACTTGGCCATTATATCTTTCCACTATGCCACACTGCTTTGTTCTCTCCATCACTTCTACAGAGGTTTGTGTGCTTCTGAGAACTTTATTTCTTACTGATTCCCCAAGTGATGAGTTTGTGGTTTTTTTTTGTATTCAAAGTAATGAGAAGAAGAAAAAAAGATGCCCTCCCTCTGAGCCCTGGAAGCAATAGCCAGTGACTGGCTGATGGGCTCGGACTGCTGCTACTGTCCTGCACAACCAGCTCTGGGCAGCACTGGACCAGTGAGCCTATGGCACACAGGCTATAGCAGGCTGTTTGTGTCACTGAAAGCTCTAGAGCTTTGCCATCCCCGCATAGACCCTACGTACCACAGCTGATTTACATACTATCACAAATGCTTTTTATCTAGAGGGTAGAGATGATGTTCATTGCAGGCACTGGGTCAGAATGGAAAACACAGTAGTTCTTTCTCAACTGACTGAGATATCAAGCAATAATTGACGAAGGAAATAAGCTTTTACAGGGCTCTCTCCTCTGATTAAGCCTTTCCCAGCTGAGGTCTTTTTAGTTGTTACTGTTTTAGAATAACACTTTCCAGGGTCAATTTTAGCCTTCAAATTTACTTTTTATATTTTGCCATCATGGTTAATTCCTCAAGACAAAAAAAAAAAAATCTCATTTTTGCTTGACTTTGCTCCTTATTATTGCAACCATTTCAGTGGGTCTACACGAAGGTAGAGACGCAGCGCTGGCTACCCAGTAGCAGCACAGCAGTGACCACTGCCAGGACAGGGTCTACGTCAGCCAGGGAGAGGGGTGTGGACGCAGAAACCCTCGAGCCCTCGGTGCTGAAATCCAAATGAGCGTTCTGTGAGGCGCAAACCATTGTCAAAGACAGCCACGGACACAGCGGAACAAGTGGGGCTCACGAAGCCCTCTCGTCCCGTCTGCAGGCAACACCCTCCGTCTTACCTCGGGCGCTGGAGGGGGCAGAGGTAACCATCTGGGATGGCGCTGAGTGAGTAGAACTCAGGCTGGAGGAAGAAGGGCTTGCCTGGGACGAGGACAGAACAGAGACGTTGGTGACGGAGCCCTGGTACCTGGGGTTGGGATACGCCAGCTGGAAAGGAAGAAAAGTCAGCAGGGTAGATTCCGAGTGACCAGGACTATAGGGCTGACCTGGAGTTGGCTTCTTCACACCCTGAGGTGACCAGGACCAGTACCTGATGCGGCTACCCTGGACCCGACAGAGCCAGGCTCGTAGCCTGCACTAGGGACTACCCCCACCACCCACCCAAGGCAGGGCTGTGCAGGTCGTCCTTCTATGGCGCCCACAGAGGAAGCAGGACGAGGCTGTTACACAGAAATGCTGAGCAGGAGAGTAACTGGCAGAGGATCTTTCCCATGGGACCTGCGGGAGTAGCTGGGGCTGAGGCTAGGTTTCCTTCTTGGGAAGTAAGGACTAGGAACTGACACTTGGGACGGTACGCGGAAAGAAGGCAGCTTTGTTAGCTCTGCAGAGGGGAATTCAGGAACCTCGGCCGCCGTCTTGCCAGCCCTCACACCAGATCCTCCACCAGAAAGGGGACTCCTCTAGGCGTGGAGCTCCGACATTTTCCTCGAACAGCCCTGGTACCTGCATGTGATGGTACAGGTCCTCAGGAGCCTCGCCCAGGGCGCTGTCTCCCATCATCACCATGTTTCCTGCTTCACTAGACGCATGTGAAGACAGAGAGGAGGATGAATGGCGGCCCGTGCCCATCAAGTTCATGGGGCTGTGAGCGAGAGCGGGAGACAGGGAGGAGTCAGGCCGCGGCTGAGGAAGCATGCCGAGTGGCAGAGGCAGTACCGGGATGTGTGAATGGTCATCCCAAGCTGTGGCCACCGCTGGTGCGGAGGCTCCATAGCCGAGGTTTGTATCTACTGGAGACGGAGCAGTCCTGAGTCCTGCTCTGCCGCTCAGGAGCCCCTGGTTGGGGAAGGCCCATGGTGTGCTGGCACAGCCTCTACCTAGAGTTAAATTACTTACGATCGCTCAGTCTGAGGATATTCAAAGTTTCTCAGAAGGAACGAAAGAAAAATATGTTGAGCGAGCCAAGGATCCTATGTGCTCCTTGCTGTGGGGTATTAGTCTGAGCCAGGGCCTACTGTTACCTACACCACGACGGGATCTGCTCCCAGGCCAGAGAGATCTTCCTGCTGTGGGGAAGCTACCACAACAGCTGGCGTGAACTCTCTGTGGGCTTTCTTCTACACCTGTGGCCACAGGCTTGCCATCAGCTTTCCTCAGTCAATACCAGGAAGCGCTTCATACATTTGCTCCTTCTTAGGCACTGGGTCCTCACCGTGCTGGGTTGTTGCTCACACTAGAAACAAATCTGGCCTCCCCGTCCTAGACTCTGAGTATCCTCTAGTTTAGCTCAGCAAGGCCAGGAATCCTGAGTTTCTAGTAGTGACACTTTGCCATATTGTACCAGTATTTTTTTTCCAAAACCAATTGGTATCCAGGTGTAGTGGCACACACCTGCAATCCCACCACTCAGGAGGCTGAGGCAGGAGGATCACCAGGAGTTCAAGATCAGCCTGGGCCACAGAGTGAGCTCAAGGCCAGCCTGAACTACATAATGAGACACTATCTCAAAAACAAAAAGCAAAACAAAACAAAAAAACAATCAGTGGTCTTCATTCCCCTAGGGGTCAAGCCCAAAAGTCCACGTGAATAAGGCCCATTCAGAGCTGGTCCTGGCTCTCTTTTGCGCCCGGGAATCCTGCACCACAGCCACTCGGCTTTCTCCTCTTAGTGCTGACCAGGGTGGCTGGTTCGTATCTTGAAGCTTTTGTACATGTCAGTCAGTTGCCTAGATCAGTCTCATTGCACTACTCTCCTAATCTCAACTTTTTTCCGCATAGTAAACTTTGAATTATCTTTTAAGACTTACACAGATGTCCCCTCATACTTATTCCTACAAAGCCATGTATATTCCTCTGTCACACTGGATAGTGACTGACTGGATACTGATTGGGGTCCTGTGGCAGGAACTGTGGTAGGGCTGTGTGCATGCTGAGAGGGGATACGAACACACAAAATCACTCTCTGGAACTCCTTTCCTCTGATGCCTGTCTTTCAGACTTACCTCCCAGTGGGAAACCCTTGCTAGCTCTAAGGCAGTACCTGTGCCGGTGGGACATCTTGATGTTCTCAGGGCTCATGGGGCTGTGAGACGCCAGAACATTTCCCCGTGGGGTGCTGGTGCCCGAACAAGCAGGACTTAGCTTATCCAAACCTGGAAATTCCTGTTGAGAAAGGAATGCTCACGTATAGAGAGCGAAGAATAAATAATTAAGGGGTAAGGGGAAAAGCAGGCTGCTAGTCAGAATACAAAAGCAACAAAAAAGTATCATGCATTGTACCGCTGACTTCTTTTGGGCAATGACCTCTCAATGACTAACCACCCTTCTAGCCTTCTGGAGCCTAGACCACAGGGCACGAAGTCTTAGCCTGGCTCTGTGAAGAGAAGTGCGTCAGGGATAGGCTGGTTGGTCTGACCTCGAAGGGCTATGTTAACAGTTTTGTTTGTTTTTTTACTACAGAACAGTATGGCAAAGTCTGAGAAAGAGGACAGGAAGAGTTTGTTACCAGCTGTCAGTGAGAACGTCTTACATAAAGACTGGGGCTGGGATTGGTAGGCCTGTTAAATGACCTAGCTCGTAGTGACCTGAGTTAGGTTGCCTGTAACAGTCTATGCGGGAAACAGGAAAGAAGTCCTGATGAAAAACGGGACAGTTCTAATTTAGTCTAATTAAATTCATACTAAGTATGGAGACTTCTTGGCAGAAACTTCCAATCTTAATGCTTCTTTTTTTTTTTTTTGGTTTTTCTCTGGTACCAGGAACCGAACTCACGACCTTGCACTTGCCAGGCAGGCGCTTTGCCGCTGAGCTAAATCCCCAGCCCCAATCTTAATGCTTCTGAGTAGCAGAATATTGGTCTGTGTTCTTGTTTGTAACTCTGAGAAAACAAAGGACCATTTTCCAGGTTTCAAGTCCTCCATAATCTATGGTGAACGCGGGCCCTACGTCTATTAGAGATGTTTTGCAGCTCTGCCTCCTCTTCTTCCAAAGCACGCACAGGGCTGAAACGTGCTTCTGCCGCCCCGGAGGACACCTTCACAAACACACCGGGGACCCTGACGCGAACTGGAAAGCATTGTGTGTTTTTTTCTGCAGTGCCCTGACTGCCTGAGTGGCAGAGAATCTCCCTCATGGCCAGTTCTCAGCCTGAAAGAGCCATGTGCTCTGACAGGGACGTCTGTGTACTGCAGAGACCAGCCACTCAGGGAGGAGAGAGAGTTTCATGAGAAGAGATGAAATTCTCATCAGATTCAGTGACTACTCAAGTTCTTTACTGAGTGGATCCCCAATTTTAAGGGAGAAACATTCTCTGCATGTTCTGCAGGTAATCCTAAGAGGATGGAGAAATTTAGGCTCTACAGGCTTTCTTCTGGGAAGGGCATCCCCTCTCAAACTATGACAAGCTTCTTTTCCCCTCTTTCCTTTTCATGCTGTCCATACTTTCCCAGAATAGGTGACAGCTGCACTGGAAGCTGGGAGGGACTGAGATGACCACAACTTAACAGCGTGCAAGAAGCGAGCAATCTGAGTCTGGATAGCCCAACCTCCCCTCGGGACTCTGTAGCCAGGGTTGTCCCTAAAGAGGACGTTCTTGCCCGTAACATCTTGGCCCAGCATCTAACAGCTTTCCTCCTGCCTCCCTGCTGCTTCTGCCTAGAGTCCTGGGTGATGAGGACTGAGCTTTGCCTGGGAGCCAGGCAGGAGTAGTGCACTGCGTTCATACCCTTTGAGATGGGGGACTGCTCAGCAGAGAAGTTTCTCTAGAAATTATTTGGGGTCAGTCCCATGGTTGAAAATGGGGTGACGGTAAGTGAATAGGAGATTCAGGGCCACCCCAATCCTATCTTTGGCCAACATCCTCTGTAGGACCCTGCCAAAGAAAACCAGTTCTAGAAGACAGGCCCTCCCTGTGTGTATCAGTCCTTGGTCCAAAACCCGGCGGAGGCCAAAAAGCCAAACCAGTGTGGAGACCCTCTGGGGCCTGGTGTAGCCCCACAACCTATCTGATACCTTTAAGAGGAGCTGGCGTGAAAGTGCCAAGGGCTTTCTCAGATGTGAACCTGGGTCACTAGACATCATGGAGAAATTTGGGGTGGGAGAAAGAGGGGAAGGAGGAAGGGAGTTACAGAGGAAAGCAAGAGGGACAGAGGGCGGGGGAAGATGAAGATGGGGAAGGACAGAGGAGAGCAGAGACGGGGAACTGGCTCAGGCCATACTTCTACCTCTTTCAGTTCTTGGAGTGAAAACATCTCTAAAGAGATCCCTACAAGTAGGACATGTACTTTAGTTTCTTTCCTCTGCCTATGAAAGCCTCTATTTACCAGCACAGTGTCCTGAAAAATGTTCTTTGTCCTTGGGTTTCACTCCTTTGGGAGTGAGTGAATTAATGAGAGACCCTGAGAATTCCTGCCCTGAATACGGCACTGACCCTCGGCCTCCTGCCACTCTGTGGTGGGAACAGCTTCCCTTTCTCCCCTCCGCGCCTTCCCACTTTTCCTTGGCTTGTGGCACAGGTCTGGAGGAAGCGGCACCTGGTTGTACCGCAGCCAGAGGCAGGTCAGGGATCAGCTTACATGGTAGAGACTAGCCCGCATCATCTGGAACTGATCGATCAGCTTCTTATGCAGAGGCCGCATTTCTGGATGCACAAATTTCTCATGAACTGCTAGCCCGACTCCGAGGATATGGACCTATGAGGGTGCCAGATAAAGCCTCTGTGTTAAGCAGAGAGCAGTTCCTGAGAACTGCAGCCATCTTGCACTGTGCGGCCTTTCCCAATGCCTGTAGACCCCTAAGCCCTGCAAGCCATACCTGCTCCTGCATAAGCTCCTTGAGTTGGGAGATCTTCTCAGCATCTCCTGGGTGCTTGGTGATGTAATCTTTATCAAAGAAGGCCTGGAAGGGGAAATGTCAGGTTAGAAAGACTCTTGCAAGGATCACTACTTAGATGGGGCCTCAGAAGCCCGAGGCCAAAGGCAGCCAGGCTGTCTCACATGTGTATGTAGCACCAACTCCGGCACAGTTTATTAGAACCGCTGGCATTTACAGACGTGTTCCCATGAGAAAGACTGAAGTGGCCAAATCACTTGAATTGGACACTAGCCCCAACTCTTCCTGAAGCCTGGGTGGCCTGAGTAGTACAGGTAGGGCTAGTGGCCCAGAAGTTGGGGCTAGCCTTTTAGCCAGCCTACAATTCACTTTTCATGAAGGGTTGGCCCTCTAGAGCTCCCCCTGGAGGACACTTAACATCCTCCCATTATCCAATGGATTATCCACCTGAAAAAGATCAGAGAATAAAAGCAAAGGCCCCAGCAGAGCTGTGCTCCTGAAAGGAGGAGGGGCTAGGAGCTTACAGCCTCATCCGAGAATGACTCCAAGTCAGCTCAGCCAGGAGAGGCTAGCTGGGAAGGCCCCCAAGGAGGCTGTGATCTCGAGGAGACTGTAAACCACCTTCCCGGCCAGGCTGCCCGTGCAGACTTGGTCTGAGGTCTCAGCTCACCTCCTGGTAGCGCGCAATGCCTCCGTTGACAGCCGCATCAATCACACCATTCAGGCACATGCTGAGCAGGTTGATGTTTCCGTGCACCTGCTTGTGCTGATACTGGCTGATTAGGGCCCGCAGCTCCTGGTTCTTGTTCTCAACCACTTGGATGGCATTCTCCAAAGGGCTCACCTCCACCTACGGGCACAGAGCAGACAGTGTCCTCCCGGGAACGATGATCACCCCTCATCACTGTCCTGAATGCAGGGATCTGTGACTTGTGATGCTGAGCCCCTTTCCTTGCTCCTGTGGGCTCAGTACTCCCTGGGCCTTTTACTACTCTTCTGGTTTACAAGCATTTGAAAGAACAGCAACAGGGAAGAATAGTAGTTCTGAAACCACAAAGGTCTGGCTTCCTGAGCCTCAGAGAATGCCAGTTTTCTCCTCTGAAAACTGGCAGTTAAAAATACCTGCTCCCTGGGTTTGGTGTGTGGTGAGGAGGACAGAAGGTACGCGAAGCTCCCAGTACAGGATTGACCTGGGGGAGCCGAGGACGGGCAGGTGGCCAGAATTCTTTCTTTCTTCAGTCAGTCCTGAGAGAAAGCTCCCCAGAGCCATGGCTTGAGGGAGCAGCTGAGGCTCAGCCCTATCTGAGGCATATCTCACCAGTTCCCTCCTCTCCACCTCGAACCACCGGGAGATGCCAGGCAAGCTGTGAGTCAGGGTAAGTGTGGTGCGCTCGATCCACAGGCTCTGCAACGAGGGCACAGGGAGGAGCAGGCCGTTAGTCAGGTTTTGCCACACTCCGCCTACCTGAGGGATGCAACGATAGTGAGTTCTCAAGAAAGTGGGGCTTGCCCCTGCTTTCCTAGATTTGTTCACCTTGAATTCATTCTCCTTGTCCTTGGGGCCTTTGTGGAAAGGTCTGTCATACCGGAACTTCCTTACATTGTTGACACGATAGAAGCTTTTGACACGATCTGGGACCCTATCCATCTGCAGAACATCCACATAATCTGGAATAGGTGTCACTGCATAGATCTGCAAGTCTGGGTGTGAAGTGAAGGGGAAATCCAGACTTGCCAAAGAGACAGACCTGCATGGCTGACCCCCATCATCTCTTTAAATGAGAGAAACTCACAATGGCCCTTGTTCCCTACTGGCAGTGGTGGTGGAGGCAGATAAGGTCCAAGTATAGTAGGACAAATGTGTCTGCTCCAGCAGTGAGTCTCCCAGGCACTCAGCCAAGGTCAGAGAGCAACAACTAAGTGTCCTTGATGCCCCTTGAAGAAAGACAGGGAAAGAGGTCAGGATAATGCAGTGTCACCACCTACAGGGCTGAGAGAAGGTTGCAAGGACTCTGGCCTACTCATTGTAGGTAAACTGTGTTTACTACAACAAGCTTTCGGTAACATACAGTAGTATCTGACGTCTCTGTGGAAAGGAGTCTGCTCGACCTCACCTCTCTGGAACAAGTTTGGCACAGTCGTGGCGACTGCCCGGTGGCTCCTAAGGAGCTGTGTGAGGGGGTGGCGAGGGACACCGGCGTGCCATCGAACAACAGGCACTTCCGGTCTCCTCTTCCTCCTGCACCCCTGGTGCTCTGCCCCAGGCTACCTGATAGCAACAGTGCACGGGGAAGTGGAACAAGGAGCAGCACAGTGCAGCTGGTGTCCCCGCGACGGGAGCCCCAGTGGGAGCCTACTCACCCCGCACAGCGATTGCTCCTGACTGCCTGGCAAGCCCCGTGCAGGGCGGGGTGAGGGTTACGCTACTGATAGCAGTCAGCCGGAGGAACACCCCTCCGAGCTCCGTTGGGAGACCACGAGTAAGGCTAAGGACACGCCATCGCCTGCTATGTGAGGCACGAGTGCCTTGTTCAGTGTGGGCCTAGTGCTGAGGACACACTCAGGCTTTGGGCTATGCGTAACCTATGGGCACTTTTTTAATGGGTAATCTAAATAAGGTTGGAAGGCCAAAATGGTTGAGGGGAAGCTGACTGGGTGGGACTCACCCCTGGAACGCCATCCCTCCTCCCCCTACCAGTGTCAAAAGATACACTGGGCGTCGCACTGTAGGACGGCATCGTCAGGGTGGTTGGGGTGCTGCATGGCGACGGCCTGCGGGAACTCGCTGAGCATCCTTTGCTGGAAGGCCTCCAGCCTCTCATAGTCATGGCCACGGCACACGTATTCTTTGTTCTGTCAAAAACGTAAGACCGTGAAATCACTACGCCCTGCCTGTAACCCCCCATCACCACATAAACAAGGAGCCTCCTCTGTACCACGCCCTGTGCAAGCACAGGGCAAGCACGCAGTCTCTGCGTTAAGAGAAGACAGTTAAGCAGGAAAGGACAGACGAAGGGAGAATTGCACCGGGGCGGGCAGCCCTGGAGGTGGGGCACAAACACCATACACAGCACACACAGCTGGAGAGAACGTGCACGCGGATAACCCGTGTGAGGGTGGCTGAGGAGGCCAGCGGTAGTGCCAGGGTCACCTCTGTGGGCACTATCACATCATTTGACATGGGTAGGTGATCAGGTGTGCGCTTTTGAAGGAGAAATGGTCTAAACATTGTCCGGTGACCACTAGGTATTGAGCAATTGTTTATTGCACTGATAAACCTCTTTGGTACCAATTTCCTTTGCAAACATGTCAGCCAAGCAAACTGACAACATGCAAACTACACATTTCTTAAAGCTGTATGTCACATCACATTTGGTTTGGGATAAGTCTCATTTTTTCTCCTTGTAGCTGAAATCTCCTTGTGAGCAAGACAACCCCAGGCCTACAGCTCTGCTTATCTTACAGCTGGTCCCGACTGGGTGACTGGAGGAGCTTTGTCTGAAATCTGCTGGTGACACTATCTGCCCATCCAGCTGCCTCACCAGAGCCTTTGAAACAAACAGCGTCAGGCACTTAAGAACCCCCTTGACATGTCCTGAGAAGTAGAGGTAGAACTACAGGTAGCAGTAGAGCTAGAGCTAGAGGGAGAGGTAGGGGCAGGGACAGGGGCAGAGGGAGGGGCAGAAGGAGGGGAGGGGGAGAGAGCAGGAGAGGGAGGGAGGGAGGGAGACATATTGTCTGTATGATTCCTGAGTCGGCCAACCACAGGCCAGGCCTCAGAGCATCTCAAGCTTCTCAGAGCAGGGCTTCTGCCCCTTTCTATGCACCATCTTACTATAAGAAACTCAGCTATGTCTGGTCATGCGTCTGGATGAGTCAGAATGGAAGGGTGACATCGGAAGGGGAGGCGAGGTCAGGAGGAGCGGTTGCCAGGCGGGTAGACACCTCTAAGTCTCCTGATTGATACACAAAGTGGGCAGGCAAAGTAGTCTGTCACTCAGTATCTTCACAGTACTAGTCCCAGGATGCCCTTGCACATAGGAAAAACCATGGGTATTCAAGTTCCTTATATAAAATGGTATAATATTTTCATATTACCTATACATATCCTTCCTGTATACTGTAAATTATTTCTAGGTTACTTGCAAAATATAATACTATAAATAATTGTTATACTATATTGTTTAGGGAATAATGACAAGAAAATAAATCTGTATGTGTTCAGATGCATTTTTGCAGCATATTTTTCAACCATAATTGATTCAATCCACAGATATGGAACTCATGGATACGGTGGGCTAACTGTACTTGGGAAGAACTGACATTAACTTTTAAAAAATTTTTAGTACAGGGGATTGAGCCTAGGACCTTGCCCCTGGTAGGAAAGTACTCCACCACTAGCTACGTCCCCAGGACAAGCACTTTTTCACATTCCCTCACATAAATATATTCCTCACTAGTGTCTGTACGTGGATCAAATGAAGAAAAATAGGAATCCCACCAAAAGGAGGGCTGGATGTTTTCCTGTCTTCTTGTGCATTAGTAGATAACCAAATCTTTGAGGCAAGGAAGGCAGATGGTCCAGAGAAACCAAGCTGAGAGAACTAAAGTAATAGATGCCCGTGTGTTCAGGGGTGGTGAGGCAAGCCTTTTGGGGGAGGAAGAGGAAGACAGAGCACTGACCTTCAGGGTGATTGGTGGTCTCACGCATGCATAGGCAGGAATACCAGCATCCCCACAAAGGACAGATTTGACTGCCACTACTTTGCACTTCACCTGCGCCATCTATAAGGCAAACAGCTACCACCACTTGGATGTATTCCATTTGCCACAGATGAACTGAGCAGCTGGGAAAGCAGCATGAGGTGAGGGCTGTGAAACTTGTCCATATGAATCATAGCTCACAGAGACTGCTCTTTGGGTAGAAATGAGAATGAACGGATGGGTAACGTTTTCTAACACCCTTTGTTAATCTTCCATTCCTGGAACCTCTGAAACCACATCTGAACATTCAGACTGTTACTCGCAAGCATGATTTAGATGGACGACTGAGATGCAGGTTCCATGCCAGGTCATTCCTACCTGTCAGAAAATCTCAAGAACCCTGAGCTATGGGTGTACAAACTGTAAATCTATAGAAGGATAATAAAAGGACAGTAAATCATAATTTGCAAAGATGAAATGAGATGGAAGTTACAATTCTAGATGCATGAGTTTGTCAGAGAGCTTTCTGGAGATGGTGCTGATTTCTACATTTTTTTTTTTTTTTGGGCTTTTTTCAGGTACCGGGAACCGAACTCATGACCTTGTGCTTGCCAGGCAGGCACTTTTGCCACTGAGCTAAATCCCCAGCCCCTGATTTCTAAATTTTAAATAATCCCTTGTACCTCTTTCACTGACCTCCATGACTATTGCTGCTCTATGATCCATACTGACGGAAGCAGCAGATTTGCCCCTTCTGAAATGCCTGGACTGGGTAACGGAGCCCTAGTTCTCCTAAGGAACTGTCCTCTCATTCATATTCTGCGGCTAGGAACATGGCTGTGCAACAGGGTTGGAGCCGCCCTGGGTGTCACAGTCAGGTAGAGGAAGCTTCTTGTCCTTGTAAGATCTGCTCCCTCCCAGATCACTTTTCCTTCCAGCCTAGAATGATTATTACCCAGAAAAGTGTAAGTTGACCTGATTTCCATCTGAAATGTGGTTATCCTGGACTCTGCTGTTAGCCGACCGAAATTGTTTTCAAACCCTTGATGTGATACTGTTACAATACCAAGCTTGCTACTGCTCACGGCTAACACAATTTTCCAGTAAGATGGAATTCCAAACATACCAAAGGGATCCTGCAATTTCTCCCCACTGCTTGCTGAGCTTTATGGGACACTAACTTTTAATAAGACATTGGAACGAAGGATAATCAGAGGTAGTGTACGCTGTTTCAAGTGTACGCTGGGACTCACTTATAAGGACAGCTTCACTTCAGTCACCTGAGAACAATGTATTTCTTTGGAGTACAGCTTACATGCCCAAGAGGACTACTCTTGGAGCCTATGGGCTGTGCTGAATAAGTAAGAAAATCACACACTGTTTTGGGGCTGAGCCAATGTGGATGTTTCCACCTCCTGTGGAAACCTGCACTCCCTGTGCAGCTTTTGCTCTTGGCCTCATATGCATGCTTACCAGTGAGAGTGCTAATTCAGCAGCTGCTTGTCGTAGCAGGCTTGCGAACAAGGGGAAGACGGGCTGGGGATGGGGCAGCACTGAGCACAAGTTAATGTGCGCTGAGGGAAGCTGAGGGTGCCCAGAGGCTGGAAAGAGAAATGTAGGCTTGCTTCCCGATGGTGCTATTTCTCCATGGAGGAAACCGGCAACACCCAGGCACCATAAACCGATCCCTACATGACACTGTGAAAGGCATAAATGGCAACAATTTGGAAAGCAAGCTTCGAACTACTCAAGATGCTAGGAAACTGCTTTCTAGGGACAAAACAGCTCTTGATAATATAATCCAAGCTGGTCTGATTCCTAATCTTGTGTCCTTTGGCAGAAATGATGCAGTTCATTCAGTTTGGATCTGCTTCGGTGCCCGCTAACGTTGCTTCTGGGACATCAGCACAGACCCAGGCTGGGGTGGATGAGGTCCTATCCCAGCATTCCTTTCTGTGTCAGCATCTCCCCCTGATCACATCAGTGAACAAACTACAGGGGCTCTCAGAAACCTTGCAGATGATGATTTTGTTTTCTGGTATTTTGTTATCAAGCATGGTGAAGCTGACTCACTGTTAATTCTTCTTGCAGTGGCTGGTATGTCGTCTTTAGCCTGTTGTTACAGTCTTATTTGGGCACTTTTAAACTTCTGTCTCAAGAATCCTGCACCTCCAACAGATGCCCCTGGATAATTCTTCCTACTTGAGTTTGTCTCCTGCTCACGATCCAGAAGCATTAGCAGATAACTGTTAGGCTGCTTCCCACCCGAGAGGTGGTCCAAATAAACAGTGAAACAACAGTGAAAAAGTTGTACCCTAACTTGTGAAGCTTCTACGACTTATTCAGCAGCTAGCCCTGATTTCCACACTAACAACAACAGGGAATTATTGTCAGTGGGATAGAGGAGGATTTCCATAGCTAAACTTAGTGTTTTGTAGCACCTTCAGGGCTCCAGGAGCCAAGTGGACTTACTCTCTAGGTTATTTCAAACCAAGAGTTCTCCGTTTTGGTTGTATGCACAAGCTGAGTGTTGAGGTCAGGGCTATACTTGTACAGTAGGCTGAGAAGAGACAGCATGGAGGTTCTATGCACCAGAGGCAAAAGTTGGAAGACATGTATGGTACATTATTAGATGTTGGTCACTTCCTGAAGGAACATGGTAGATTTTGTTTCTTTGGTTTTTTTTTTTTCCTCCAGTACCAGGAATCGAACTCATGACCTTGCACTTGCCAGGCAGGCACTGTGCCACTGCGCTAAATCCCCAGCCCTGGAATATGGCAGATTTTGTAGGAAAACTATCCTCATACTTTCTTGGCAGCTACAGAATAATAGAGCAGACTAAAACTGAGTCAAAGTTAGTAGCCAGGCCAATCAAATAAATCCAAATACCTTCTATTAACTGGTCATTCCTTTAGAAAGAAGTACCCAGTAGAACGGACAAAAAGGGAAGAGTAAGGTCTCAAGCGGATCATATGTATGTTATATATAAATGCTAGTGACCACCTGGGACTCACCCGAAGGAAGAAAGGAAACTTCCTGCCATAGAAGCCGACTCGAAAGAACTCAGGTTCCAGGCGTTGCTGCTCCATGATGTTGTCATAGTAACTGGCTTCCATTTTCTGTGAACAAGAAAGGTGACTGCCTTCAGGTTGGCTGGGCTGTTGCCGGTCCAAAGCAAGTTCTCCTGGGCCCAAGTGGACACTGACTTCTGGAAAGGGATCCATGGCGGCTCAGTCTAGGTGAGAAGGAAGGGAGCCTCTGCCCATGAACAGCGTCTCTTCAGGGAGCTGCGTCACGGAAGAGGAAGCCCTCCTTCTCCATCACCATCTGATGTGGGGTGAGGACAGCCTGCCCACTGCAGTCCTGTGAGGGTACTCTGCATGTCCTCCCAGGACACGACCTACCTCCCTACAAATCTGAGTTTCGCGCTCAAGGGGCACACATTTAACACTAGCCTTTTTCGCCCAGGGATTTTGATTTGACTGATACTCACTGTAACAGTTAATCCCTAGCTAGGATTGCTTGTAGCTCACTGTCAGCAATTCTCAGTGTCGTGTCAGTCTGTGTCCATTTTTAAAAGTTTGTCCATCTATTCTCTGACCAAAGGTGCTAATAACCATAGTGAAGAAGGCTCAGTTGCCGGCATCACTGGTACCAATTCCAATTTAAAATATTTTAAGCTTGAAAAGTTATTGACCTTTTTTTTTTTTTTTTTTTTTTTTCCGGTACCGGGAATTGAACTCACAACCTTGCGCTTGCCAGGCAGACGCTGTGCTGCTGAGCTAAATCCCCAGCCCCCAAGCTTGAAAAGTTAATATCCATGATGTTTAACATTACCAAGGTCAGTATAGTTTTTAGTCTTGTCTGACCTGGCTTCACATTCAGAAAAAAACTGAACAAAACTTTAACTGGGAAACTAATGAATTTAATCAAGTCAGGTTGTCAGGGGCCAGTGGCCTTCAAAAACTACTTCTAGGACATTGCGCCCAAGTCCCAATCTGAACAAGAGAACAGGGGAGAGTCTGCAACAAGCATGATGGTATAGGGAATGTAGCTGAGATCACTGCCTTCTCTATGCTGATAAAATCAGCGGCCGTTATGATTCAGAACCCAAAACCGGCAACCAGGAAAAATATGGTGCGGACCCTCACAGTCCACGGGGCTCCTGGTGTAACTTTGTAATATTTTGCTTGAAGGAAGGGAGAAAGGACAAGGTGCTTAAAATTGGTCACAAGACAAGAGTGCGGAAAGTTCTTATAATGTAGTTTTTAGATGAAACATCCTTGAACAAAACCATTTACATAAAAATGCTTCATAAAGTTGAGATGCTATCTTCTGTCCAAAACTCCTGTCCTATTGTGTCTGTGTGAGCGTCTTTCTCTGAGTACCAGATGTCCTTAGGGTGTGGATCACAAAATCCTTTGTTAGGCAAGTGTTTTGGTTCCCCTGTCAGCCTTCAGGATGCTGAGGGCAGGAACTTCGGCCTCTGTTTCTCTTGTACTGTGCACAGCATTAAACCAAGGGCCTTACACCCCACACAAGAAAGCTCATTCAGAAACTGATGTCAGGAAAATCCAGGCAACTCTGGTCAGAGGAGGGGGAAGAGGTAAGGGACAGCGCTCACCCGAATCCAGCTGAGGCTCTGGTAATCGTAGAGACTTTCGTACTGACATGCCAGCTCCCTGCACAGTGGGATCCCAAACTCCCAGCTCTGCATCAGAAGGAGGAACAGGGCTTTAGCACCTCAGGCACCCTTAGAATGGTCTAAGCCTACATAGAGCACAGCAGTAGTTACAACAAAAGGCCTCCTGCTAGTTCCAGCTTGTGTGTCAGGGAACACATGAAGCACGACACACAGCACTGTGGCTTTCCAGCTCAAGCGCAACTTTCTGGTGTCCGTTCAAATGTCTCCACTCCCAGACCCTCCCTGATTATCTTGTCAGGAATAGGCACTTCTCTTCTTTTTCTTTCTTGCTTTTTTTGTCTTTTTGTAATACTGGGGATTGAACTCAGGGCCTTTGTAGTGAGCTTTATCCCTAACCCTTTTTATCTTTCTTTTATTTTTGATACAGTGTCTTACTGAGTCACCAAGTTGCCTAGGCTGGGCTTGAACTTGCAGTCCACCTACCTCAGCCTTGCAGAGTGCTGGAATTGAAGGTATGCAAGAACAGGAATTTTTCCTCACAGTTTGGTTGTTACCCTGAAGTCACTTTATTTTTTTAAAGTTATTTACTTTTTCATTAGTCTGATTTTAGATGGCAAACTGCATGAAGGAATAAGCCATTTATTTACTTTATCCTCGGAGCCAAGAACAGTATCAGACATGTATCAGGTACTTGGTAAAGATTTACTTAATGAATTAATGATGGGGACATTGATTGATTGATTGATTGAGACAGAGTCTTGCTATGCAGTTCAGGCTGGCCTTGAACCCACTACAGGCCCAGGCTGGCCTCAAACTCATGGCTATCCTATCCTCCCAAGTGCTGGGGTTACAGAAGGGTGCCACTCTGCCTGGCTGGTAACATGACATTTAAATTAAGATCATTTAAGCTTAGAGACAAGAATGGAAACCAAGAAGAAAATTACTACACAGAATTTGACAATGTCCTTTATGGAAAGACTGGAACTTTAAATTAGACGATCCTGGCCTAGTCAGATCCCAGGCATTCTGGTGATATGGCTCCTGTTACGGTCATAGGCCCATCTAACAGGTGCCTGAGGAAGGCTGCAGTGGAATCATGAAGAGGCAATACTGTCCACTTCTCCCTTCTTTCAAAAATATAGTTCAGGCTTCCTTTCTCTTGATTAAATGGGGAATCATCAGTTTGCTTGACGTCTTACCCAGGCACTCCTCTCCAACTTTTAAAAACTAATTAAAATTTATTGTAGAAAATGTTATGTATGTAGAAAAGTGGGAAGCACAGAAGAATGAATGCCTAGGTGCCCACAGTCCAGCCTCAATAGTGACCAAGTAAAGGCCAATCATGTATCATTCATGCCCCATCAATTTATTCCTCTCTGTAGTTTCTGGAAAAAAACCCTCAGATATCGTAAGTATACAAATGAATTTTTCAGTGTGAATCTTTGAACAATAAAGGTTATATATATTTTTAAAATTAAAAAATTTTATTAGTGGGTGTTTACAAGTACATAATGATTATATCTATCATGGTGAGTTGGTCCATGTACATCACACATCTAATTCTCTTTACTTCCCTTTCTCCTCCGGTCTCCCTCCAGATGTAGGTTCCCTATGGGACCTGGTGCTAGTTTACAAAGTACTATTTGAAGTGGCACTGAGGAAGGCAGTTTTATTTGAGACTGTATTATTTAAAAAGAGCGTATTATTTATGTCCTTTGAAGAAACTAATGCCATATGGATTGAAACTGCAGGACCAATTAAAATACTGAAACAAACCAAAAAGAATGTTAAATGGACCCTGGCTTTCTGCTCTGTTACAGTGCCTCTGCCTCAATGAGCCGGAAAACCTTTTACACCACCAAATCACGGCTTTCAAGGCGGCCCATGTCAGTCTCCCTTTCAGCTCCAGCTGGCCCCAGGGCGTGCTGCAGCCGAGGACGCCTAGCAGGGTCTGCCTGGAGGGCGCTCCGCGGGGACTGCTGGAGCAGCTGTGCTGGGTACAGACCTCTGCCCGGCCTGTCCGGCGCGGTCTCGCAGGGGTTGCTCATTGAGGTGGTGAGGGCCCCACGAGGGGCTAAAGGCATTCCGCTTGCCGATGGTCGTTTCCTCTAAAACACAGCTCCTCCAGTGGACCAATGCTCGTCTCTCTTGCTGGTATTTCTGCCCTGAGCTGTAACCCTGCTGCTCCAAAGTGCCTTTCCCCTAACTGTCTGTAGGGTGAGACAGGACCAAGAGTTTCAAGACACCCTGCCAGCCTTGAGGGGTGTACTGGAAAACCGCTGGGTCTCTAGGGCTTTTGAAAGCCTCCAGTGCACACATACAGGGAAACTTCTGCAGGTACAGTACATCTCCACCCTTACCCTCTCCCTTGGTTTCTCTCTTCTAGGCAACAGGCCAAGCTAATTTAAAAAGTCCTGACCAGTGCCTGAACCACTTCCACCAGCTCTGGCAGGTATGTGCTTCTTCTACATCCCGGTTTTGGCCCATCACAGATGGCACAAACGCTGCACTGTCTGCTAGTCGAATAGCACAGGAAGGGGAAGGCCTGGGTCTTAGTCTGGCAGTCTTTCTCCCTCTGTTTACACAACTTAGAACGAAGTTATTCCTTTAGAGGCACAGGCCATAGTGAACACTCCACGGGGAGCCTCCTGCCCCATGACCAGCCTAGACATGAGGGTTTTTATGCCGGAGGCCTTTGTCCTGCTTCCTCTATGTCTGCTCCCTCTGCCTGGGTGTGAAGGAGCAGGTCCTATCTTCGTACTCTTTTTCTCATCTCTCACTCTGCCCACACCGTTTCTTTGAGGTGCCCCCGGCCCCTGTCTGGCTGGGAGAGTTAATCTGCTATGGACAAAAGCCCAGTCTACCTTGGAGTAGGTTCCTATGTTAGCCACTGCACTTCTAGAGAGAATGACCAGACTAGGCTATGGCCATGTGTCACCTACCTACTTAAAAATGAACATGGCACCAACAGGGATTGGGTTGTACATTTAAGGCATACAACAGAGATACGAGGAGCGTGGGGAAGAAGAATCAAGAAGGGCCTGGCTTGTGCAGCAGGATGTGCTGGCGGTGCTGAAGGACAGACCCTCTTGCCTGTTCCTCGTCTTACCCTGTTTCGCTCTTCTCCTGTTGCTAGGGTGACTTTTCTCCTCATGCCACCCCTGGCCCATAGGAGCCTTGCTCCTGCAGCAGTGGCTTTTGCTCTTTAAGACAAGCTGGTTAGCCTCACGTCCTACTTCCATCAGGAGTGGAGGCACGGAAATAGAGAAGGTGCACCTTCTGCACATGCCTAAGCACGGACCTGGTAAGCGCCCCTTGGAGAACGAGTTCATGAAAGGACTGAATGAGCAATTCACTGGAAGGAGCGGGGAGACCCCTAAGAAAGTGGCCCATGGAGCCTACTCGACCTTCTGCCCGCTCTGCCCGTCCTTGACGTGCGGGGAGGCTTTGCACTTCACTCCTGGTCCATGTGAAGATTTCACCCTCATTTGCTATGTGCTGCTGTCGTAGTAGTGTGATGACGAGTTAATGCTCACACATCTCAACAGGACGTGTGCCCTGTTAGGAAGCTCTCCACTCTGCACTCTGTGCCTTTGGGAAGAAAGTAAGAGAACCAGTACACGAAAAGCATTCACACCGGGTCACCAAACCTATGTCCTGTCCGGGTCAGGAGGGCCTACTATGCATGTGCACAGTGGCAGGTTGTTTAGTGCCAGGAAGGCAGGCCTACAGCTGAATGAGGGATGCAAGCCAGGCTCCAGACCGGAAGGGGAAGAGGCTTTGGGCCAACACTATGAGCTCAGTCCTGTGCACTGGCCGAGAGAACTACTTCCCCTTTGGGTTGGTTACAGGAGAATCTCTGCAGTTCTGTAAAGGTTCTTGCCTCACCAGTGCATTCTCTGTGAGGGCTGCGTATGCGCACATGTGTGTAGGTTTTCTGAGTAAACTTTTTTCTTGAGTTTTGAGATAATATCTTGCTCCATATACTTCAGGCTGACCTTGCTCTCATGGTGATTCTCCCGTCTCAGCCTCCTGTGTGCTGGGATTATATGTGTGTGCTACCATGCTTGGCTACTGAGTGAATATTTTTGACAAATACCAAATACCAATACCAAAGTACTTGGTATTTGTCAAAATACTTTGTTGTGTGTTTTCTGATTTATGGGCAAAAGCAATTAACATTTAATCTTTCTGATGATGAAAAAGTTCACTCTGAACATCTGTTTCAACGTGAGTCAGAGGCTCAGCCACTACAGCTTCCTGAACGATCCCATTTCAAATTGTAAAATGTGCTCAAAGCTTCGTCATTACTAAGGACAGGTTCGGCAAGTCTTTCCAGTGCATGGCCACACCCAGTGGTGAGCTCTCTGGAGACGGGAGCAGCACTGACCAGGAAGCCCCAAGGAAGCCTTAACTAGCACTGACCTCGCAGAAGCAAGTCTGCTTTAGAATAGTCCCAGTCTGACAGAAAGCCGGCCAGCGCTAGAGGTAAGGGAAATCCAAGGTGAGAACTTCTGCTAGTGAGAGGCAACGCAGACCTCCTTTGGCTCTAGTTATGATCCACTTGTTTTTACTACTTATAATTTTTACACCAGCAAGTTAGAAAGCCGCAATAATTCTTTAAATAAATCCCGTGCAGACTTTCAGAAGCCTGTGCTGCAACAGCATCATCACGTATAGATGAGAAAAATATGTGAGATTGTTTCTTATAACCTGGAATGGGCTTCCAAGCCACAGAATTAAGCTGTTGTTGTCCTTTAACCTCTGCCCTAGAGAAAATCCTCCAAATCCAATGCTAAATGTGAGCACCCACCCTCCCACCCCCTCATATACCACTGCCTTCAGCTGTGCCAGCCCCACAGTGTCAGGATGCCATGCACCACAGCGGTAGCTTAGGGGCTGAGCAGCGTGCCTGGTGACACCTACTTTGCCTTTGTTGAAGTAGTGGATGATCTTCCGGCACAGTCCCTCCTTCCGCTGCCACTCTGTCTGGGATGGGTAGTGCAGGAACTCCCGCAGCGGCCGATCCTCCCACTGCAGCAGCTCACAGTAAAGGAGCAGGGTGAACGCAGCCTCTGTGGGGAAAGGCAGCATGGAGGCGCAGGCCTTCCTCTCAGGGGCCAGAAGCAGGTAGTGAGGCTGGGCAGAGCGAGGGCTAGGCACGTGCAGCCCAGGTCAGGGACACCAAGGCTGCCCAGGAAGCCAAGAGCCCACGCCACAGAAGAAGAAGAAGCCATAGATGCCGGTAGCTACCTTTCTCCTAGGGCCTGGTTTCCTGTTCTGGGGATCGAGGTAAAGAATAAAGAATTCTCAGGTACCCAAGACCCTGTGCACAGATCATCCTGCTTGGGTAACTGGCATGCTAGGGAGTGCTTGGGTTCCTTTTGCTCGCTCACTATGGTTTCCTTTCTGGTCTTCTCAGAACGTGCTCTAGCGGGTGAACACCAAGCAGTCTTCCCTCAGCTCTTCCTAACACACCTGTAATGCCTCCAGATCCATTTTTCTGGCCTCAGCGTGGCCAAGGGGGGGGGGGATTCTTTCCTCTCATCTTTATCATTTCTAAAAGGACCAAAAAGAAGCAGTATGAACGGTAGTAATTGTGGGATGGGCCTGGAGCCGGAGGCTGCATTCCTGGGGGAACCCCAGAGAACAGCAGCCCCAGGCTGGAGCCTGGAAACACCTGACCCCACATACGGAACCATTAGTGGCAGCTATGTAAAGACACAGCTGTGAAGCAGTGTAGCTTCCTAGATTGCGAGGGGTGAGTCACACTGAATTAAGCCGCCGTTCAGGGTCCTCCTGTCACAGTCTTCTCTGTCCGTTCCTATTTGCTTATTTTTAGTGGGCATTTCTATTGGCAAGTTAGTTTTTGCTCTTCTTGGCTTTCACGGCCCTAAAACCTGCTCCGCATTCTGATCCATCTTGTAGCTCCTTTCCAGGCTTACCGGGCCCACTTGCCTGAGGTCTCTCTAAAGCCTCCTCACCTTTGCCTCTCTCCTGTGTGTCCTGCCACTGCCTGCCCGGGGTGCACACACCTCTTCCTTGCAGCTAGGAAACCTTTTCTCTCTGGGTACAAAAGAGCTTTTTCCCTCTGTGGTACCCAAGTTCTCCCTTTGGAGCCCAACCAGAAGACATCTTGTCCTTCTCAGTCTATACTCTTTTTTGATGTCATTCCTGAAGCCTTCGGAGATGAGGCTTAGTTCCCTCTCTGTCCAGGTTGCTGACCCAGCCTCCGTCAAGGCCCGGTCCGCTGGAGGTTAGTAAATGCTACTACCGATTCATGGAATTTATCAAAATCTTCGTATTCACTGCCCTCTCAGAGAATTGCGGGTATCGTGGGTGGAATTAGATGCAGAGGACAGTAGATCTAAGCTGTGCTGTGGTATTCTACTGTATGGTATGCTCTGCAATGCTGTGTTATGCTATTCTGTTCTCGCCTGTTGGCGGGGTCTCACTATGTTGTGCAGGCTGGCCTTGAATTCGGGATCCTCCTGCCACAGCCTTCCAGGCAGAGCACAGTCATTTTAGGTATACTTTTGGCAAGGTGTGCTACCAGAAAATGTGACATCTACACCAAGCACTCTCTAATATCTAGAGATAAGGAGGGAGGACTGTTTCTACAAATCCATCAAATTCTAGTAACATTTTTAGAGAGGAAAAGCTCAAATTTCCTTGTCTGTCATACAAATTCAAGTCCTATAGCCTAATAGCTAAGATGTAGTGGCTGGCAACCACAGCGGAAAAGACGGCTATTTGGGGGGAACTATGATACAAGGTGTTCAGAGAGAATACAAACGCGTGCATACACCCTCCTGATTCAGAGCAGCTCTCAGTAAACAGAGTGAGACAGGCATTTTGAATTAGACTGCAGACATAATGACAGGGTGCCTGTCTGTGGCTGTCAAGTCAGATGAATACTCTCCACTGGGAGCTCAGAGCGGGGCTGCTCTGCAGTTGCAGGGAAATGCTGACGGCCAGGCAGATCTGCCAGTGAATCCCAGGGTTCGGGGTATTATGTTGTTAAGGCCTCACTGAGCTCCAGCTTTTAAGAGACAGGTTCTGTTTATGAGGACTGACAACCCGCTGGGATGCTCTAAGCCTGGTGCATCAGCATTGGGAGGCTACCCTGGAGGCCTCAGAAGGGAGGGTGGTAATGGAGAATGGGAAAGTCTCAGGCAGTGGAGGACATGGTCCAGAGACAGACATAAGTGGAAGTTCTGCCTGCTTTCTCTCTGCCATGTGCCAAAAAGGAGTTCGGAGAGAGGAGTGAAGTGGAGGGACAGCACGGGCCCTAACACTCCGCTGCAGGTGGCAGGAAGCAGCCCGCAGCCTTTCTCCGCGAGCTGGGAAGACCTCGCCAGTCTATTCTCAAGGGCAGCGTTGCCACTCTCGCTACTCACCGGTGTAGTTTTCGATCTGTAAGTGCATATCACAAAGCTTATGGATGTATCGGATATACATTTCTTCTTTGTTAATCTCAGATTTGTAGAAGTTCTGTAAGAGAGAAAAGGAAATACACATGGAGTGAGAGAGTCTGCCACCTGTGGAAGCCACTCCTGAACTTCAGACCACTGGCTAACGCTCTGGGTATGCTAGGCAGGAGGCGAGGACAGATCGTGGAGGCAGATTCCACCGGAAAAGGAAACAGCCAACCAGAAGGACAGAAGCTCTGCTGAGTCTGTGCGGGTCCTGAGGAGTGTGAGGGAGAAAGGCACAGAGCCAACTGATGGGGATCAGGACAGCACATCAGACTGTGTCGGGGTTGGCAGGGCCTTGGCAGGAGGCCAGGTTAGAGTTCCGCCCGAAGAAAAACTCATCAGGAGGGAATGTGTCTGATGAGGGTCAGGACTCCAAGGTAACCATGCTAGAGCTGAAATTCTGACTCAGATCTTTAGGCCTACAGCCACATATCATAGAAAGGCCAAGCCAGTTGCAGTGCGGAACAGGAACGGCCCACTAGGCGGACAAGGAGAAAATCCATGTCCTCTCACCATTAGGTTAACCGTGCAGCCAATCTTCTTATTCTCTGTTTCTTCTCCTTTCATACAGTCCCTGGAAGGGAGAACATGGGTGAGTACCCGTGGTATGAAGTGGTGCCCTGGCACAATACACAGAACTGCAGTGTCCCTGGGCCGTTAGTGTGAACAAATCTCAAATCAGGATGCCTTCTAACAGGAAGTGATTCCTCAAGTGAATGCTACTCTGGGAGCTCCTTCTGAGACGGTATCCACTCCTAGGGTTCAGCTGAGATCCTTGTTCTGGTGGCAGTGTGGGGAGAATAGATGTGTCAGGCAGGGCATTAAGCGGCACCTATCAATGTCCTTATCACAGATGGATGTGTCAGTAAAGTGGAAGGTCAAATCCTCAGGTTCCCCAAAAGAGGGGCACAGAGCTGTCTTTAAAGGGCAAGTTTCATTTTGTGCAACGGTGCTGATTAGGTCTTCTACTCAAGGTTGTAGTTTCAGAACGCTGTGGCCACGGCAACCATGGCATGATTGATGGGTAGACCATCTATCCTTCCTTTGCTTTAGTCTTTGGAACCATCTTTCACAAGTAGCAGGTGCTTCCTGCTGATTCAGAGACAGCTTTAGCCAAGCAGGGTATGGGTGTACCAGGGGTTAGGGCTGAGCTGTGAGAGACACGACAGTTAAGGGCACAGAGAATGGATACTTCCCAAGGGAAAGAGCTGGCAGGTTAAAGTCAAGCTCCTGTGGGAAGGAGCAGAAGCCTAGCACAAGGAGACAAAAAGAGTGAGCACCAAACTGGCAAATCCAGCCGGCCCAAGGGCCAGATGGCTGACTGGTTTCGGGTAACATGCAGAGTGGCAAGAGGCATCCCTCTCCCCTCTGACCATCCAGGGGCTCAGTCAGTCAGCCCTGGAGAGGGAAATGAGCCCTTGCTTAGCCATTTTGGCATTCAGTAGTTTCTCTTTTCTATCAAATATCTGAAACATTTACCAGGCATCACTTTCTCTTTGGCCATAACTAGAATTTCCCAGCCAGATCAATGAAAGAGAAAAGAACTGGTGTCAGCGCTGTGAGTGCTGCGGGCATTTTCAGACATGTCTGGTCCACACCTGCCTCCCTCACGGACTGTCAGCAGCAGACCTTGTGTTGCTCTGTATCACTTCTGGGGGGCTCCTCAACAAAGTTCAAAGTCTTCAACTTGGCTGTAGCCACCACTCCCCCTTTAGCTTTTCCTCTGGATTGTGAACAGGGAAGAACTGCCTGAAAGAGGCTTCTGAGGCACCTGGCCCACCTGTTCACAGGATCTAATAGAACAACCACTGCACCCTTAATTATTCTGTCATGAGGATTCGGGTGGGAGCGAACGGTGCCTTTTGGGAGTCAAGAAAAAAGTGATAAAGAATGGGTAGGAATGCTGAAGAGATGAAACCTAGTCCAAGTGATAGTGCTACAAGAGTTCAGACACGAAAGGAGAACATTTTCCACCCGTGTGGTAATGAGGAGAAGGAGCTGGGCTTTGCCTTGTGAGGCCCTGAGAAAATAGGCGAAAGCTTGCACAAGCACAGCTGTGCTACAGGAGGGGATGCTCTGGCTGCGAACATGTTTCTCAGGAGTTCCATTTCCACAGCGAGGCCAGTGCACTGGACAATGACAAGAGCACTGCCTACTAGAGTGCCTTCCACTTCAGCAGCAACTGGGAGGTGGTCTAAACACCACCGTTTCTTGACCCATGGGTTGAAAATGTTCTCCTTTCGTGTCTGAACTCTTGTAGCACTATCACTTGGACTAGATTTCACCTCTTCATCACTCCTACCCATTCTTTATCACTTTTTTCTTGACTCCCAAAAGGCACCGTTCGCTCCCACCCGAATCCTCAGGACAGAATAATTAAGGGTGCAGTGGTTGTTCTAGTGTTACTTTTGGACTAACAAACAGCCACGATATGACTGGGAAGGTAGGCTCTCATGGACACTTCCTATTCCACAAGAACTCACAGACTGAACATAGCATAAAGATCTCTGAGCTCACAGTCTGCTTCCTCTGACTGCTTATTGATAAGACTTGGAGATAGAAACAGCAAACAATGCATTCACAGAAAAGGGGGGATCCCCATCCCTGGAAAAGCACTAAAGTCCTGCGGGGGCTCATTGTGGTAGCAGGTAACACTTCCCTGCTCGTCTACTAAGGAGCTGTACCTGCTCCTGGCGTTGCTTTCCTCTTCCCTCACGTTATGCCTATTCCTTAACTTTCTGGATGGAAGGTCAGATGGTTGCACATCTCTGGGATGCCTCCTGGGCACACTGCCGTATTTTAGAGGCAGGAATCCCGGAAACCCTGGCCTACTTCTGACAGATAACTCTGTCCCTGCTCATTAGTAGATTCCTAGTGACTGCGGACGGCACTCAATGACAGAACAGTCCTCCTCACGGAGGGCACCTGGCTTCAATTTTAAGTCCAAAGAATGTCCCTCGAGGGAGTGTCTTACTAAAAAAAAGGTCAGGCAAATGCTTGAGGAAATACCTGTAGTCAAGAAGGCGCTCCATGAGGCGGGTGACTGAGGTCACAAAGGAAATGCCGGTCTCGCGCCACGTTTCCTGTTCCACCTTCTCCAGCAGGCTATTGGAGGGTAGGAAGCAAACACAATGCATGAGTTTCCTCTGGGCACGACAGTGAGGTCCAAGAGCCCATGGGAACTGTGACGGAGCTGGAGACGGCAGACTTACCACATGGCAGTCTTACCTGGGGTAGGGCCCAAACAGCTGGGTTCTACTCCATGAAGCAGAAAGCAAAGACAAGGAGGTTACTGGACTGGCAGCAACAAAGAAAGTATCTCCCAGTTCTCTGTATGTGTCTCTTACAATGTCAATGGCATGGAGGTGAGGGAAGAGTTCACACTGTGGGGTCTCTTTTCAAGGGAACGGCTACATAAGAGCTCATGAAAGAACAAGTCAAAGGCTTTGCCAACCGATCAGTTGTCTGTATTGCTGCCCAGAGCCATTCTCAGCAAACATACAACTAACCTCTTCATGTAAATCAAGGGGCGGATTCCCACCAGCCTCCAGAGCCAGGCGTGAAGCACAGTGAACAAGTACACAACTACAGCCAGCCATCTCTGTTGTCAGGGGACGCTCCCAAGCAAAATGTGCCACACCCAGGAGCCCCATACCAAGGGCTTATTTTTATGTGATAGTCCCAAGTTCCTGTCAGGTTAGAAAAGCCTCTGGCTTCTCCAAAAAGCCAGGGTTTTGAGATCCTCTAACATATCACCGGTCTCTTCTAGGTGACAATGATCTGAATTCTGTTTCCTTCAATAACAAGCCCATTTCTAGGTATGCACATAATTTTATTCCTGATCCCTTTTCATCTCATCCTTTGATCTTTAAGGTCATGAGAGTCCCCTGGAGTGGCTGGCCCAACTGAGGCTAGTACTGGGAACTGAAACTCATGCATGATTGTTGTTAATGCTTTTGCTGTGATGACGACTGTCTTCCTGCACAGAAAATCTTCCTGGGCCAGGCTTTCAGGGCAAGTGAGGATTTCCCACAGGATCCATGTTGCTGAGACTCTTGCCCTGAGGCAAACCTCTGAGCCAAGGCTACTGAACCAGTGTTTCTCAGACTGTTCTACAGAGCCTGTGCTGTCCTACACAACAGGGAGAGGTGCCCCACGAGCACATTAACGTGGGAATGCTGGTGATTACACTATCCTTTTAGAGATCTTTTCCATGCAATTTTGCATGTTAAAGGCTTTGAGAAACCTTGGATGGAGAGGCTTTCTCAAGTTTGTTTTAAATGAATCTTTTTAAAATCAATTAGCTCATGATTCACCGTTCTCCCCTAGCATATCTACAAGCATCTTCCCAAAACGCAAATCTGGAAATGCCGCTCCATGTTATCAGTAGCTCTCAGTTCTCAGACTGATTTTAAAAAGGGTTACTAACACTATTTGGTCAGGTAATTAGTAATTGTTGGTTATTTTTAAACCTTTTCCTTTGTAGTAAAGTCATTTGTGAGTGGCCAAGGAAGAGGTTTCCTCTGCCGTGTTCCCACAATTATCAATATCATCAGCCAAAAGAGAAATACTAAAGGATAAATTTATTTTCATAAATTATAATCATTTAAATGTCAAATAAATTAATTTTATCTTATGACTTATCAAGGAACAAGATAGGCATGGAATAACAGAGTGAGTCCCTCCCTCATGAAACTGAGGGTCTGCATCCTCCTTCCAGAGGGAACTATACTAAACGGGTAATTGAAAGTGTATTAGCTCTTGCCTAAATGTGGCTCATTATCTCTACAGACAAAGAAGAGAATCTCTGTCCTTTTCTCCTTGCAAATGTGTTGTGAGATTCAAGTAGAGAAACATTTTGTATACTGTAAAGTTCTACACATTCAATATTTTTACTGGAAACACCCTTTTGAGATTGAGATTTGTCCTTAAAATCATATTAAAACAAAGAACATTTCAAAAAATAAGTGAGGTAGGAAGATTTTCTGGTAACTTGAAATTTCACTTGTTTTTTAGGGAGATGAAATATTAACATCACTGTACTTGGGAAGGCCATGTGTATTTTCTCTGAGTCTCTCTTTGGTCTTAGTCCTGTTCCAAATCCTGCAAGGCCTCTCCATGAACTCAAGCCAGAAGTTGAGGTCCACCATGGAGTGGTGGACCTGGGAAAACCTTCGTGGTTTCCGAAGAACTTCTTCATTTCACAAAGAGGGAAACAAGCTCAGAGATGGAGTGTGACTTATGCAAGAGCCCACAGCAGTAGTTTTCAAGCTGATTATAATATCTTATAAAGGCAGGTAAGAAGGGGCCCTGTTTTAGAGGAGAATTTCCACTCCTCCAGAAATGCCAGCACAAAGCCTTAAATAATTAAGTCTTCCCAAGCAGCTTGCTCAGCTGCACACAGTACATGCTGTGAAGGCACACAACGATCCTTTTCCTGTTAGTAAACCTAGGAGTTAAGTTATTGTCTCTTTGTAGCTCCTCAGTACTATGGCAATCCCTGAGAGAGCATGCTTTCTTTCTGACGGAAGACGAACACTGCTACCACTAGGAATAAGCGGGTCTTTCCTGATACCAGACCTCTGAAGACTGCCCAGTGTAGGTCTGTCTCCCTTCCCTACTGCCCCACTTCATCACCTCCCTCAGCGTGGGGTGGCTGGGGCTGGGGCAGCTTACAGCAGACCAAAGAGCTCCCTGTAGCTCTCGTCGCCTCTCCCCTCTGACACCATGCTGTCCAGCTTGTCAATCAGCTCAGCCTCCACCTAGAAGAAAGCAGAGACTTCGTAACTCCAAATCAACTCAGAACGGCAAATGCTCATCCCCTTGCTAGACGAGGATGGTAGGAAACTTTCCTTATTTGTGTCCTTGCTCCAAATAAATTCCAGGAAAGACAGCATATTAGCTGCAGCACCAAGAAACTACCCTGCCTCCTGCTATCAAGAAGGCTTCCCTCCCTAGTGCTTTAATATACGGGGCTTAAAGTTTCAGCTACTGCTTTTCCATTTAAGGAAAAAAGGCAAGAAAAATATTCTGGTTCCAAAAAAGCCTTTGTTAAATGTTTTCCTTTTGTTTTAAAATTTATTTTAAAAAATTATGTATAAAATATATCTGGCTAATAATTGTACTACTAATATCTGTGGGTTTATTGAAAGGAACTGTTAATGTGTAATTGTTTACTTAATCTTACATGCCTATATCTGGTTATATGTACAACCATTTTGAAGATGACATTATGTAATATACTAACCATTGTTAATATCTATCATCATGTTTTGAAATTCTGTGTCATTTTTACTGTTCTCTATGCTGTTTTGTTTATGTATTTGTTTTTGTTATTTTGGTTTTTTTTTCTTTTCTCTTTAAAATGAAAAACAAAATTTATATGTATATACAAGGATAACTATGATAGGTGTATTGCTGATGTCTGTGGCTTATTGAAAGGAATACACAATGCTTAAAATTTTCTTTTTTCTTGACCAGTTTTGCATGCTTGACTCTGGCAATCAGAATGACTGATCTGAAAACAACAATATGCAGTATAAGAACCATTGTTGAATTCCTACCATCTTGTATGGTGAAGCTCTTCATCATTTCCAATGTTTTTTATTACTTCTTACTGTCTTTGATTGTTTGATCAATCTTACATTCTTACGTCTGGTGGACTGAGCAACTTCACTGAAGGTAACAGTATGTAATGTTGCAACCATTGTTAATTCCTATCATTTTGTTTTGAGGTCATGTATCACTTTTTTTGTTTTTGTGTTGTTTTGATTTTGTCTTCATTGTTGTTTTGCTAGTTTTTTAAATCTTTAAAATAAAAAAAATATCTGGCTAGAACTTTATCCCCTAATCAGCCAGTCTAAAAGGAGGCTTGTGTTGGTTTGTCGGTCTTCACTCTAATGAGACTGACATTAGTTTGTGTTGAAAAGTGATGTATTTCCTTCAGAGATTCTCCTTCAAGATAACAAGCTCCACCACTGCTAAGCCCTTGGGGCTGCTGTCCCTGCCACCGCCCATCACGGGAGGCCCCTTGACATGTTACTGGTATCTTAATCATGAGGAGCAACACTGGCTTTGCTCCTTCCGTATGGATCTGCAAGGGCACTGAGCGCTGCCACTTTGTCTTTTCTTTCTTTCTTTTTTTGTGCAGTACTGGGGATCTCAGGGCTTCTGAACTGGAACAGATATCTACCCCTTGCTCTCTCAAGACAGAGTCTTGTTGTGTCCCTAAAGTGTCCAGGCTGGGTTTAAACATGTGATCCTCTTCCTTCGGCTGCCTGGAAAGCAGAGATTGTACTGCCAAAATATTTTTCCAATAGGCTCCACTGGACTTACTCTTGAGGTGAAAAATTAGTTGAAGTGATGTCAGATAAAATCTTTTCTACCCTTCATTACCCGTTAAAATGTGGTGGTCTGGTATATTTTATATATATATATATATATATATATATATATTTATTTTTATAAACAACACAAAACCCTGACATAGTTAAATTTAATATTGTGCTAACATAGAAGCATTTTCTTCCTCACAGAGGGCAAAAGAATCCTAAGGAAAAGAAAGACAAGAAACCGACTGAGTAAATGCACCGAAAGCAGTTAGGGGTCGTGAAATCAGCAGGAATGAGGAGGGATGAATAAATACGACCCTTTTTATAGTGACGGACTATATGGCCAAGTGCCAAAGGGTGCCCGGTGCTAGCGGACGTGGAGACACTGCCGCACGCACCCTAGGCCCTGATTAGCCAGCTGACTGGATACCTATTAAAAAGGAACAGAAGGCCAAAGACCTGGTGCTTTTCGGGATTAGTGCCATCCTGCTCTCTTTGTCTGGAGAAGAGGTCTCAGCAGGGACTTGCCTAGGGCCATGAAAAGTCTGGTAGATCTGGGTTTGGGAGCGAAGGTATCTCACCCCAGTTCAGAGCATGTCTTGCCTAACTTGGTCAACTAGCTGGCTACAAGCAGGACCTGATTTTATTTATTTGTTTGTTTTTTGAGACAGAGTCTTGCTATGTAGTCCATGCTGGCCTTGAATTCACTATGTATCCCAGGCTGGCCTCTAACTTGCAGTCCTCCTGCCTCAGCCTCCTGAGTGCTGGGATTACGGGCATGCATTACCACACTTGGCTGAGAAAAGCCTGATTCTAACAAAGGGATCTCTTTATATAGAGAGGCACAGGTAGATTGTATTTCCCCAAACGGGAAAATGTGAAGAGGAGACCTGGAGCAATTTGGAGTGCAATCAGAAGGGTGCATGGTGCTGGGTGGATATGGAGATACTATTTCATCACCCCTGCAGAGCTGTGAAGGAGGAACTTAGGAGCGCTCCAAAACATGGAATATTGAAGATCAGTGCATGAAAAACTGAGGTCTTGAAGTCAAACAAACAGTTAGTTCTTCAAATTTATCATATCATAATTAGTAATACTATCCATGAGGTCTCCAAAGTCACTCTCATTCTACAGAAACAGTATTTCTGAAATGGCACTTTGTTATTCATTCAACATTTGTCCTGTGACATAATCAGTTGTGTAGTTCCGGACGAATGTTTGCCTAAGTCCAGGTTTCTGTGTTTGTGAAATGGGGAGGGTGCTCACATTCCTCCTTGGTGTCACTTGCCCTGTGGCCTGGCTCCTGGGAAGTGCTCAATAGACGCTAGTTTTGGTTTTCATTTCTGTGTGCTCCCCATGTGTTAGGCACCACATTGTGTCCTGAGAAAATAAAATGCGCAGAAAGTCCTGATCCTGAAAGCTCCTCATCTCATAGGGAAGGTAGGGACAGCAGCTGCCACGACTCCGCACGGTCCGTGCTCAATGGGGCCCACAAAGACAGGGCAGCCTGGGCCTGAGAAGTCGACAGGCAGCAGTTTCCAGAGGTGCTGCTATGAAAATGTGCATGTCTCCGCTCCTTATACAGTGAGCATACCTTGAGCAACTTACTGAAGAAGGTGGACGTCTGTTAAGGGGTTTCTTATGGGCCAGTCATTGATTTACATGTACATTGCAGCTCATGTGGCTGGGCACTAAGGGTGCTAGTAATGCTCATATTCTGTTAGAGGCAGTAAAGTAATCCTTACAGAAATGCCCTTTTGTTAAGGGCACAAATGCCCTTTGTCTTATGGAAGTGACCTTTGTTACAGCCACCTCATTCTTATTTGTTATACTGGAGATCTTGGCTAAAAAAATAAGCAAAAAAAAAAAAAAAACAACAAAAAAAGAAATACACAGACTAGAAAGGAAAAAAACCAAATACAGTCTCTAACAAAATGATCCCAGGAAATTAATAGAAGAATCTTCTAGGGCTTGTAAGTGAATTTAGCAAGGTATGGGATATAAGTTAATATATAAAATTCAATTATATTTTTATATACAGTACTAGAAAACAGACTTTAAAATCAAATCATGCAGGGCATGGTGGCACATGCCTGTAAGCCCAGCTGTTTGAGAGGCAGGAAGGTCTTGCATTTAGGGCCAGCCTACACAACTTAGTGAGACCTGGTCTCAGAATAAAAGGACTGTGGATGTAGCTCAATGCACCTTGCCTTCACACCTCAGTACTATATAGAAAATGTCATGAAAATAGCATCAAAATCCAGAAAATACTTCTGCATAAATTTAGTAGCATAAATATAAGATCTGTATGTTAACATTGAAAAAATCAAAGAATGCTTTTTAACATATTGATTCTTCCCAATTTTATGTATAGATTCAGTGTAATCCTAATCAAAATCTTAGCAGGAATTTTCATGGAAACTGATATGTAGATTCTAAAAATGAGAAAAGGAGAACTGGAATTGCTAATATAACACTGAAGAAAATGACCAAATTTGGAGGACTCATGCCACTTAATTTTAAATACTATTTATAAAGCTTTAGTAATCAAGGGCATGTGTTATTAATAAAAGAATAAATATAAAGATCAACAGAAAGACTGACGTGTCCAGAGATTGACATAAATATAACCAACTGATCTACAAATTTTAATTGACAAATAATTGTATATATTTATGAGGTACAATAATAATATATCCCATGATGATTAAATCAAGTTAATCAACATATAAAGTACTTCACCTACTTAACATTTCTGGTGAGAGTACTGAAAATCTACTTTTAGCAATTTTGAATTATATAACACATTATTATTAACTGTAGTCACCATGTTGTGCACCAAATTATTAAAATTTATTCACTGAAACTTTGCATGCTTCAATAGTTATTTGATTCTTGGTAAAGGTACAAAGATAATTTAAGAAGAAAGGAAAGATTTTTCAACAAAAGCTGCTAGAATAATTGGACACCCATATGCCCTTCCTCCCCCAAAGAACTTTCACTCACACTTCATACTTTGTACAAAAATGAACTCAAAATAGATCTAAATTTAAAATGTAAAATTATAAAATGTCTTGGGCTGGGAGTATAATTCTGTGCTAGAGTACATGTCTTGCAGGCATGAGGATTTGGATCAGATTCTGGCACTGAAAAAAAAAGTTATAAAACTTCTAGAAGAAAATATGGAAAAAGTTTTAGGGCCCTGAGTTAGGCAAATAGTTATCAGGTATCACTCCAAAAGTATGACCCATAAAAGGAAAACATTGATATTGGACTTCATTAAAATTAAAATCTTTGTTCTGCAAAAGTCATTGTTTATTAGATAAAATGATAAGCTAAAGACTTGGAGAAAACATTTATAAATTGTAATTTAGCAAAGGACTTATGTCTAGACTATACATGAAGAACCCTTAAAACTCAACAATATTAGGAAATTACCCAACTGAAAATAAAGAAGTTTTGAATAATAATCTCACCAAAGAAAGACAAGGACGCACATAAAAAGACTCTCATCACTAATACTTAGTGAAATGGCTATCAAAACCGCAATGATATACAATTACATACCTATCAGAATGGCACAGCCAAGCAAAACTAAGCACTGGTTAGTGAAAGGAGTAACTCGAGTTCTCATATTGTTGTTGGGACTTCAAAACAGCAAATCATTTTGGAAAACAGTTTGATAGCTTCTTTTTTCAAACCATCTTAAAATATAGGTTTAATTACACTTTTAAACTTTAAAAAGAAAGTACCAAGAAACATACATAAGTATTGCAATAAGACCCGCTACTTTGGATAATAATATTTTCTAAGTTCTATGAACATAGTTGAAGTTTTAGAACATATATAGACTCAGAACAGGACTAATAGTTCTTGGAAATGATGATCCAATATGATAGAATTACATGATGACAGAAGCTGACCCTTTCTTACAATTAGATTTTAACAAATTATTTTGTCACAAATAAAAATGGCAGTGTGTGAATTACTTAAGTTCTAGAAGGTAAAAGAAAAAACTGACTTCAGGTAATCACTGAATACTATAGAAATAAGGTTTGCTTTTTTAAAAATTTTATTTTATGTGAAAAATAAAACAAAATTTCCAAACAAAATAATAGGAGAATAACAATAGTTAATACAGTGCGTATTGTTATCTTCAAATAAGTTGTTTGCTTATTTTTTTAAAACCAAAAATATGCAAAAATTTTGTACAAAGGAAGCTTGATATTCAGTATGAAAACAAACATAATACTTGTAACAATTTTTACCCATGAAAGACTGGATCTTACCATAAATACCATATTGCTACTAGTGGACATAAAAGGAACAAATCTGTTTCTAAAATACTGCTATATAGATAAGTAATGTTAATATAAGTTCTTTTTTATTTTAAAGAGAAAAAATAACAAAATAACAACAATGAAGACAAAAACAAAACAACACAAAAACAATGAAAACTATACAGGATTTCAAAACAAGATGATAGGAATTAACAGTGGTTGTTATATTACATATTGTTATCTTCAACAAAGTTGCTCAGAGTACCAGATGTAAGAAGTTCTTTATTTATGTTAAAATCTGTTTTAGTTTGCTGGTGTGACCAAACCTTAAAGGTAATCCCAAAGGATAAAGCAGAAGGTAAGAACAGATGTTTAGATATTACGTAGAGGCTCAACTGGATACAATTCATAAACCTTCAAGATACTTCTCTAAAGTTGCTTGAACTGTGTTTGGGTAGCGTCTGGTAGTCTACTTAAACTGAGCCAACCATTAATAACTGGGTGTTCCCTTGTCACGACCACTCAGTGAAGGCATCATGAGCACAGACACATTTTAAGTGGAAGACTGACATTCCAAGTCATGCTGCTTGATTTTACATATAAAAGAATAGAACCTCTCGCTTTTAAAAGTTGTGGAGGAGCTTCATAATAAATTATTAAATATACTAATTTCTGTGAGGTCTAGCAATTAAATATACTTGAAGGTAGAACTAAAATTCCACTAAGAACCATTTTCTTTATTATATTATGTAAGAAAATATATATGTCTGTACACAAAAAGTGAACGCCTTTTCTGCAAACAAGACTCAGCGGAAAACAGCAGTACACAAAAGGCTATGTAGAATGCGACTGGACACTTGACAACTAGATTAGCTGGATCAAGTCACACTGCAGTCCTCTGTAATTCTCAGAGTTTCACTAACGCCTTGCAAAAACTACAAGCATCTGCTTAGATTCCCTAACAAGGATATATTTTTATAAATTTTATATAATCAAGTTACTGAACATGAATGTTAGGCTCTTGCACGTGACCTGTATTTTTTCCTCTGATTGACAAACCCAAGGATATTTTCTGTCAGATATAATATGAAAAAAAAATTTTGTGCTAGACAAAAAGTTGAAATTGCTCAAAACTCCCTGTTTAAACTTTAACAAGTGCAAGTTTATGCTGTTGGCCCTAGTTACCATACATTGATAACTTCTTATGAAGCTAAGTACATTATTCTAAGATTCTGCAATTCTATGCTTAGGTAGTCACCCAAGAAAAATGAAAGTTTATATTCATACAAAAACTGTAAAAAATGTTTTCAGTACTTTAATCATAAGACCAAAAATGGAAAGAACCTAAATACTCCTCAGTACCAGAATAGCTACTGATATAAACATAACGTGGATGAACCTCTCACAACATTATGCTAAGTGAAAGAATCTAGTCTCAAAAGACTGTCTTCTGTTTGATTCCATCTGTATGACATTTGTGGAACAGGCACAACTATACTGATGGAGAACAGATCAATGGCTGCTTTGGTAAAGGATAGAGGAAGTGTTTGACTACAAATAACAAGATAGAAAAATTTAGGAATTACAAGAATCTCGATTGTGGTGGTGGAGGTACAATTCTATGCCTTTGCCAAAACTCATACAACCATAAATCCAAAGAATTATACTCTATGTAAATTTAAAAATAAATGCTTTAAAATTACTGTTGGTCTAGTCTGTTCTTCACTGTTAAAGTAACACTTACTTCAAGACCACTGGTTCATGCCAGACCCATGGGTTGAGAAGGAGTTTAGTGAGGAGCTGGGACCATTACTGAGTCAATGCAGAAATTTTTCTTAGAGGCCTATTGGAAACTTCTGCTTGAGGATCAGCAGTAGAGGAATGCCAGTGTCTGAGAATGGATATTTTGTGCTGCTACCTAATTAGTTCCTTTTTTTTTTTTTTCCTATTTGTTTTGTATGTGTGTGGTATCGGGGATTGAGCCCAGGGCTTTTTTACTGAGCTATATCGCCAGCCCTTTTTATTTTGAGACAATGTCTTGCTAAGTTGCCCGGGCTGGGCTCAAACTTACAATCCTCTTGCCTCAGCCTCCTGTAATGTTGGGATTATAGATGTGTGCTACCATGCTTAGATTACTTATTTTATTAGTTAAAGTTGGCTTCCCTAACACTGGTCCCTACTGATCCTGTATAATTCCCTGGAAGTACAAATACAAGTTGATCCTGTTCCCCTTAGTAGTGGCAGAATAACTGCAGAAAGGGACAGCTTGAAGCCATTCAGTCAGTATCATCTCCTGGACCTGTAATCTGAAATCCTGAGCTACCTTGAACCATGAGAAGTCATCTGGTTTGGGCCCCAAACTTACAAATTCTCGGGCCTTATAGTGGATCTTTTAAAGAAGGACAACATGTTCCCAGGGACCTCTCCTGAGTGAAACTGAGAGAGTGTACTCCCAGTCATTCTTTCCTTCATCAGAAAGTTCCTTTTACATTAGTTCATCCTTTCTTGTGATTCTTCTCTGGCTTCTAAGATAAATAAAATCCAGAAATTGATTTTGGCCAACAAAAATGATGGAAAAACCCTTGAATAAAATTCAAGATGGCCATACTACAGCCTATTCCCACTGGAACCAGGTGTAGCCATGGGGGCCACCTGCGTAAGAAGGGATCCATTGCAGATGAGAGCACCCTGAACACGGCCAGGTGTCATTTTACCTGTTTGAAGTTGCCATTTTTCCTCTGCTCCCAGTCCATCATGTCATGAAAGATGGGAATCATGATATTCCGTACTTCAGGCTGTGGGACCAGTGTCACACCCAGGAAAGGACCGATCATTCCCGGAATAAAGTGGATCTTATGTTCACCTGAACAATAAAGCCCAAAGATGTTAGTAATGCTGGCTTTGTTCCTTTCATGAAAGATTCAAAGGTAGGACCACAGACTTATGCTGGAAGCTTCTGAGAGTAAAGCTCTTTCTTATAGTTTTCTGAGATACCCTCTCTCAGCTTTTTGGTGGTACACAAATCCTGAGCTACCTTGAACCATGAGAAGTCATGTGGTTTGGGCTCCAAACTTACAAATGCTCGGGACTTATAGTGGATCTTTTAAAGAAGGACAACATGTTCCCAGGGCCCTTCTTTACAGACTTTTTTTTTTTTTAATATTTTGAGACAGGGTCTTGTTAAGTTGCTAAATTGCACAGGCTGGGATCAGATTTATGATCCTCCTGCCTTAGGCTCCTACAATGTTGGGATTATAGGTGTGTGCCACCATGGCCAGCTCCTCTTGCTTTTGAGAGTTCCTGGATGAAATTGGCCCAGCTTAGTGAAAGCAATGTTCAACTAGTACAAAAATGCTTTTCCAAAGAATTTCCTGGAAGTTCCACAAGCTACCTAAAATCTTTGAGACTGAGGAACAGAAGTTTTGGTTTGGCAAGGATTGGATTCTGGGTTACTCGTACCAATTTCAGATGGTCTGGTCACGACATTTTCTTTTAATAAAGGGAGAGCCGTATTTTCTGCTTAGACGCAGTGCATGCTCCCTGGGGTTTCCACCTCCAGCCTAGACACATTGAAGTGCTGAGGACATCGAGTCCCTGACCCGGCTCCAGAGGCCTTTTCAGCGCCTGTGCCCACGGATGCCTTCTGAGCTGGCAGGAGCCTTCCGTACAACCTTCCCTTGAAAGCTGGCTTGGACTCTCTTTTACCCACTTTACTCACTCTGGCTTCACATTTTACTTCTAATGTTGGCAGATCTACTCAGAGCAGATCAGCACGTCCCTCAACTGCCTTTATGAGGCCTTCCCACGCGAAGTGAGCGATGTGCGTTTTCTTCTGTATGGCCTGCCATCTGGGGAATGTTCCCAGAGGTCAGGGCCAACCCTGAGGACCATAGAATACAACTCTTATCCTCCCTGAAACAGGGAGACAGAGACCCATTTTCAGAGTTCTGCTTTCAGTCCTTCAGACTAAGGAAGATACAAACTATAGACCCATGCAGCAATTGTGTTGGCCAAGTAAAACCAGTTCTCAAGCCCCAGAGAATGTCATTTTCACTAAAATCGATGAAGAAGAAATCATTTTTATCAGGTATACCTAGTATCTTTTATATCTTAGATTTTAAAAGTCTCAGAAGAAAATATTAGCTGTGAGTCTGATTTTGTACATTTAAAGCATGGCACCTGGAACAACTGCCAGTGTCTTGTGTTCCTGAGAATTTCAGGGTCAGTTTCAGTGTTGACATCCATAAGCAAAGTATGTTGGATGCAGGGAACAAGAGATATTAAAGCTGGAAAGTACACTAGGGAAAAACACTCCCATTCAGGGACTGAAGGCCCTACTGCTAGAAGAAATAAAGGCCTCACACCTTGCTTGCTCCTCTAGGGGTGGGGATGGCTAATAGGTGGCTGACTGTAAGACCTTTGACCATGGGCATGAGCTTAGATAGAGCAGATTTCATTTGAACTTTTCTTTTTGGTACTAGGAATTGAACTCAGGACCTTGCACTTGCCAGGCAGGCACTTGTGTCACTGAGCTATACCCCCGCCCATTTGAACTTTTAATAGCAGCTTCTCTAGCGTATGACAGGCCACTCAGACTTCTGTAGTTTCACAGATTGGCCCAGCTAGCTAAGTCATCAGGGCAGCCCAAGGATTCTACCAGAAAGGCCACTCTGACAAGTTCACATTCCAAACAGTGACTACTAGAGAAGCTGTGGAGAGAAAAGAAGCCAAAATCAGTTTCACCCAGAGACTACAACACTCTTCTCACATGTTTTGTCATTAACTGGTGCCACACACTTGACCTGGATGCGTGGATACGAGACCCGGGAGGTGTTTTAATCTTTATCAGAATGAGGAGCTGCACTTGCTTGTGTGCCGAGTATCTCCAAGATCTGTGCTTCTGAGCTGCAGCATCCAGACTAGGATGTGAAGAGCACAGACAACCTGGCAGCATGGGTTTTCAGACTGGAAACTACCGGAGTCATCCTCCTCTTGCAGCCCTCCGACTTTAGTGCTCAAGAAAGGGACCGTGTATGTATGTAGTAGTGGGATCTTATTTCTTAGCCAAACTCTCCCCACCAAGAGCTTTATGAACATGTTCTACACCATCCATCTGAGGTATTATAATTATGTAACGCTCTCTTGGGGCTGAATTAATACTCATAAAGCCTGGGGGAAAGTATTGGTCTTGGTACTTTTATTTGCACAATGTGCGGGAGGAAGAAGGGAGAAAAGACCTACCCAAATTCTGCCACATGCTGAACAGTTCATAAGCCATCATCACACGCATGTCACCATATCTGGAAGTAATAACACGGGAGCCAGCTGTCAGTGGAAGGTGATTCAGGAAGACAGGGCTGCAGATCTTACTTCAGCACTGTTTTTTTTCTCATGCTTCTCAAAACGCTAAGCCAACTGGCCCTAGAAAGACCCCCATACCTGGCCTCTTGGAAAACCACCCATGTGAGAAAATTGTGGACCTCTGAAAGAACCTGTCCCAGGAAAATGAGAATTTTCTCATCTGGGCGATTGGGAGGGAGGTGGGTAGGAGACATCTGCCTTACTTATCTAGAATCTTCTTCCTCTTGGCTGAAGTAATGATTTCGAGCTGAAGGCTTGGCTGATTTATGAACAGAACTGCCAGGCTGAAGTAAGAATTCCACACCTGTAGAGGGGGAGAAATATCACATGGCAGTCTAAGTCTTTAACCTTGCAGGGTGAGTTACTAAATACACGTGCACAGCAGGGGATCCATTTTACAGCTTAAGGTCCTGATTTATTTTCCTTTTTGTACATCTTTGTAAATAGGGGTTTCTCCTCCCCTTTTCTTTCTTGGCTCCTTCTGAAGCTAATAGCATTGAACATGAACTAGAAAGCGTACTCAAGGACGTTCGGCTCTCAGCGTCTCCAACAGGGTGCTCCCAGGTCACACTATAATTACCACCGGGCTTGGAAGCTCTTTGATACTTAGACTCTATTACTAAAGTAAAAAGCAGCAAGCACAATTTTTGGCTTTCTAGGATTATTTCAAAGCTAGTGATGAATTTCAGGAGCTCCTACCTTGAAGTCAAAGTCTGTCTCTGTGAAATTCTTGTGCAGTGCAGAGGACAGGTACTGGACAGTAGTGACTATAATACTACAGTAAAGAAACAAAGCATCAACAGAATTAAAAGAGTAATAATGACATTTGATAGCTTTGCATCAATTGGTCACGGCCTATGGGCAAACTTCCAGAGTACAACTTGTTTCCATGTAAGATATGAGCATAAAGAGAAGAGAGCATAAAATCCACAGAAAGCAAACTGGTCCTGGAGAAATACCCTAGAGTTACAAGACAGCACAGGACATCAGGGGGGCCTTAGTACTTCTTTTCTTTGGGCCTTATGGTTCTTTACGGTTTCTTCTAGCTCAAGGAGTAATTTCTAGCATTTCTGAGACTCTTGGTAATCAATATCTATCTATCTATCTATCTATCTATCTATCATCTATCTATCTATCTAAAATGACCACTTTTAGGATGATTTAGGGCATAATTTTATTATTTTACTTGACAATAGGGGTTCACAGTTATTAAAGCCTCACTTTTGGTCACATATTAGTGTTTTCATCTATGAGTCATCGGACTCCAGCCCCTGGTCTAGAAGATCGCTCTTCATCCTAACCTGAGCACATGAAAGGGCAGTGGGAGGTAACCGTGCTGGAACTGCTGAGTATGGGTTGAAGGGGAAAGGAATCGATGTGGGGCAGATAGGTGAGGGCTTGATTACAGTGCGCCCTGGCTATCCGGCTGAGGGATTTAGTCTAACAGTGGCCACCTGGGCTTTGGTACAGAAGACGGGCAAGTCAAAACAGTGCATGAGAGACAGCATGCCACCCACCAAGGGGGTGATAAATTCTAATAATACAAGACATAAAAAAAGGCCGCTTCTGCAGGGAAGGCTGGGAAGCCTGAAGGGCTCTGAGTTAAGAGCACGGAAAAGAGAAACAAGAGTGAAGAGACAGAAACAAGAGGGATTCAAATGGGAAATCCACTACTTGAGAAAATATCCATGTAACCTTAACTATCCTGTTCTGGACAAAAGATTTTCAGGCCTTCTTGGGGGTGGGGAGAGAACTCCATAAAAAGCACAAAGTAGAGAGATAATGGTGGTACCTTGGTACTATAGCTAACAAATAATTTTACTACTTTCTACATACTGCCAACATACCCAACCGATCAGTGGAAGGAGGCAATGGGGTAGGGCTGGAGGCCAAGTACCCTTCTCCTGACTACAGAAATCGCTAATGAGCCACCCATTATTACATGTTACCACTCCTCTGGTTTGCTAAGAGGAAGCACAGCCTAGAAATATAAATGGGGCAGGTAAGTTCGGGACGGCCTTTTGAAGTCATGTGTCAGTCAGCCACGACCCCCGCGAGTGATTAGCACTAGCCACGGGAGGCACACATTGTCTGGCAGACCACACAACTCAAGTTGGGAGGGCTTTAGGCACTGCCTAAACCTGCAGGGCGGCACAGGCCCATGGCCACTGGTTAGGCCTCACTGAAGGGGCACATCCTTAACATTTCCTTTCCTGTTCGCACAATACTGAGATCTACCAGACATTCAGATGCAGTGTTCTCAGTTTCTTTTTCTTGTCCTTATGGCCAGCAGCTAAGTGCTGCTGGCTGTTCCTCCTGACATTTTTTTTTTTTTTTTCATTTTTCTAACTTCTCTCTTTTCTCCCCCATGGTCTTGGCTTTCATACTTTACTTGCTACTTCTCACATATATACACCCCTTTGTTTGAGAAGAGCTCTCTGGGTGCCAGCGCAGGGCTCTTCCTTCCTTACTTGCTTGTGAGCAGTCTCATCACCATCCAGTCCCGAGGGAAGACACTCATCTTCATGAGGTTCCGGAATACACAGAAAATCTTCAACAGGAATTCCTGGCCACAGAGAAAAGCGGATGTGACACACCACCATTATCACCAGCACAGCACACCTTTCCCCAACAGGCCCTTCCTGGCATCTAGACCATGAGAAAGAATGCTCCCCTATGGCTTGTATCCAGATGTCCCTCCCACCCGAAGCTTCATGCACTTCTGGGTGGGGCTTCTTGGAGACAGCTGGATCTAGGACATGTGATACTGGGATTAAGGGTGTGTGGTACTAAATTAATTCACTGACTGGAATTAGCATAATTTGGGGTGGCACCCCCCAAAAAGCTGGTAGCCTGGATGGGATAAAAGGGAAAGGCAGGCTTGCTTCTGCTGCTTGCTATCTTCCGCCTGCCATGCCATGAACAGTTTCTCCTCTGTGATGTCTCTCTGCCATGCCGCCCTGCCTTGAACCCAGCTGAGTATGGTCTGAGACCTCTACAGAGTGTGAGCTAAATAAATCTTTCCTCCTTTAACTTGTGGGTGCCAGGTATTTTGTCCCAGCAATGAAAAAAGCAACTAAGACAGTACCAGTGCATTAGATTTTGGTTTCCTCTGCGAGGTGCATCTCTTAGAGGCTACATGGGAGTGAATCCTGGCTATTCTCGCAGACCAGATGGGAGCAGATCCAAATTGGGGAGAAAGAGAGAGCTCTACATCTGCTCAATACCTACAGTGCTCAGAGTCAAAAACACAGGGTAGAATGGTGCCCAGAACTGGTTTCAGACTGAATCCACAGACTTCATTCTCTGGGGCATGGCCACTGAGTGCTTGATTTTAAGGGCATTTTTTTTTTTCTGGTTTTCTTTTGATATTAAGAACATACCAATGGGAAAATTTTAGGAATGGCAGAAGAAAGACCTGTGAAAGCTGGGGTATAACTCAGTGGTTGAACATGTGCTTGCTTAACACACCCAAAGGCCTGGATTCAATTCTCAACACCAAAACCAAACCAAACCAAAATGAAAAACCAAAAATCCTACAAAAATATGATTCTTCATGAAAGCAGTAAAATGGTTAAGACTGACTAACTAAAGGCTTCCAACAATTCAAGAAGTGTTTATTTATGAAAAACAGTAACCCCAGTAAGAATGGAGAGCAAGCATTTTAACTTGTTCTGTTCCAATCTTCTCTCCCTCTGCAGTAGCCCAAACAGCTACAGAGCCATGGCAGTCATGAAAACCAGTGCCCTAGCAGTCACTGGAAGGAACAGATGGTTTTGGACCTTCTAACATAGCTCCATTACCCAGAGAATTATTATTACTATACCTGTTTGGGTATTTCCTTGGGAAGAGCTGTCTTTATTTGAACTGACTTGGAGTTTATTCAGTGAGAAAAGCTCTACCCCTGATTTTTTTTGTTGCTGTTGATGAAAAAAATCAGTCACAAAATTTTGTCCAGGTGTAGTGGCACACACCTATAATTCCAGCACTCAGGATGCTGAGGCAGGAAAATCTCTGCAAGTTGAGCTACAAAGTGAGTTCAAAGCTAGCCTGAACTGTTTAGTGAGACCCTATCTCAAAAAGACAAAAAGCAAAACAAAAACAACAAAACAAAACAAGACAAAAAACAAACCCAAACTTTAACATCCCAGTTGAATGACGCAGCCTTCTCAGTAGGGCCAAACAAGAGAATGGCCAGAAAATATAAAGGAAAATCCTAAAAATGAGACATCCACATGGGGATTTGCAAGGTCCTGACATATTCCTGGCAATCTAGGAGGGTATTCACATACCCAAGGTTGTACACATTCCTAGCAAAATTATGAGAAGTGCTAATCTCTCACCTCTAGCTGACAGTGAGGCTCTGTATAAACAGGAAATAAAGGTTAAGGTAGACTAGTAAATTGCTGGAGTATTGAAGGTAAGCCCTGACACAGGCAGAGGGTCTCTGCAAGGTAAGTGCTTGGGAGGAGACTAGGGAGAAATGGTGGCAGAGCCTGCTGCAGTGGTGAAATGTAACAGTAGCGCAGGGTTTTGCTCTGAGGGGACTTGGTCCATGTGACAGGTAACAGCCGGACAGGAACTCCAGCACAAGTGCTCACCATGTCCCCAGAGATAATCAGGTGCCAGGTTGGGAAGGAGTTGATTAAATTTGGGACTCAGAACAACTAAAAAGCAGTTTCACTTTAGGGCACCCAGAGTAGCTCTTTCACTATGATTAGGGGAGATACAACCATGGGAGACAGTGGTGGACAGGAAGCAAGCTAGAAAGACACTGCTTGAGAAATTTGAGGTAAGGCGTGGAAGGACATGGGCAACTCCTCAGGCCCAGCTGAGTTGCATTCAGAAACAGCTGTGTTTTAAAGTTCCAGTATTAAGTATCTGAACTCCTGCCATGCTGCCCACATCCACAGATCTCAGGTCTGATATGTGAATAAGGACACGTCTTGGGGGGAACACTGCCAGAGCCTGCAGTACAAAGAGGGGCCTCTGGGAGAGTGGGCACCTCACAAACCCACAGTCCGTCAGGCTAGGTGAAGAAAATGCTGCCTTGCTGGACTCCAAAACTGCAGATCCTGGAAGGAAATCACACATTCAGAACTATGGAGAAATTTTTGCATTTTTTTTTAGACTCATCTTTTTTCTTTTGGTCTTTCCTCTTCCTTCTGCACTCATTTATTTGGGCTCGGGGAATATTCCTTTTTCCATTTATAAAAATTGTTTTATTAATATATGTTTGCAATACATGACGTTTACAGTTGTCTTGAAGTCACAAGTATGTAACACAGCTTTCTTCTTTTTTATTCCCCTTCTGCACCCTGGCCCCATCTCTAGATCCCCTTCCCCCATTTTCATAGTTATTGTTAATCATAGTTTATTACAAAATAAAGTCTACATCCATTGTGGGTATGTGGTTCATGCACAAGACACATCCTAAATCTTTTAACTTTCTTTTTCCCTGCCCACTTTCTTCACCATTTATCTCTTAGATCCCTTCTCATTTGCAAAAGATGTATCTCCCTATTTGCTTCAGTCAGTCAGTTGGTCGGTCACTCATTCACTCATTCATTCATTCATTCATTCATTCATTTATTTATTTATACATACAGTTCAGGCAGGTCTTGAACTCACTTTGCAGCCCAGGCTGACCTCGAACTCACATTGATTCTCCCATCTCAGCCTCCTGAGCTCTGGGATTGCAGGTGTGTGTCACTATGCCTGGCTCAGTCCTTTACTTTTGTTCTTTACTTACACTTTGCCTTACCCTAATGAGACATACCATAAGGTATTTAAGCTTGTGTGCCTGATTTATTTTGATTAACATTATAATTTCCAGGTGTTTCCATTTTCCTGGAACTGTTTTCAACTTATCTTTCTTCACAGTGGAGTAGTATTGTGTATATCACATTTTCTTTATCCATTCATTTGTTGATGGACATATAGGCTGCTTTCAGGATTTAGCTATTATGAACTGTGCTGCTATAAACATTGGTGTACGTGTATTGCTGTAATATGATGTCTTTAGCTCTTTTGAGAAGATACCTAGAAGAGGTGTGGGGAACCACTCAGACTGCTTCAAAGCTCAGGGGCATCTAAGGACACCTGAGGATGTGACCCCGCTTGTCTAGTGCAGGTGCACAGAGGGAGACAGTTACGTAACCATGACTCAGCACAGGTAAACACACATGCACTGGTTACAGCACTATGTAAGAATGTAAATACGAGATAACGACCTGTATAAAAATTATAGAATACAGACAGGCAGATCTCATATTCTGCTCTGCTCCATGCTGCCTGCTGTTGTTGCTGATGTCTTGCACAGGTGTTCTTTAACCTTGGGACCTCACCTGCAAAAATCTCCCTTGGGCCTCCTGAGCAGGCCAACAAAGGAATAGCTGGGTCAAATAGAATTTCTAATTTTAGTTCTTTGTGAAATCTCCATGCTGAGTTCCATAATGGTTGTATTAGTTTACATTCCCGCCAACAATGTAGAAGGGTTCCATTTTCACCACTCTAGCCATGCTAGCATTTGTTATTTTACATCTTTGTGATTTTTTTCTGGTATAAGATGACGTCACAGTGTTTTTTAATTTGAATTTCTCTAACGGTCAGAGATGTTGAGTATTTTTTTCATATGTTTATTAGTCATTTTTACTTCTTTTGAGAAGTGTCTGTTCATTTAATTTGCTCACTTTTTTGACTGGGTCTTTTATTTTGGGAAGTCTAATGTTTTTGAGTTCTTTATATATTCTAGATATTAGTTCTCTGTCTAATAGTGAGTAAAAATTCTTTCCATTTTGTAGGCAGCCTCTTCACTCTGCTGATTGTTTCCTTCACTGTGCAGAAGGATTGTTTCCTTCACTTTTTAATTTGACGCAGTGCAGTTTGATTCTTGCTCTTATTTCTTGTGCATGTGGAGTTTTGTTCAGAAAGTCCTTGGCTACGACTTCAAGTATTTTACCTATTTTAACTCCCAGTTGGTTCACTGTTTCTATTTTAATGTTTATAGTTTTGATCCATTTTGATTTTAGTTTAGTATATGGTGAGAGACATGGGTCTAGCTTCAGTTTTCTGCATATAGATGGCTAGGTTTCCAAGCAACATTTGTTAAATGGCCTATCTTTCCTCTACCGCATGTTTTTGGCCCCTTTATTGAAGATCAAATAGTAGAATGTGTCTGGAGATGTTTCTGTATCTCTGCTCTGTTCCACTCATCCACACATCTGTTTTCGTGCCAGTTCCACACTGTTTTTATCACTGTTGCTTTGCAGTATAACTTTAAAAAATGTTTTTAAAAGAGGTAACCATTATTTAGTTTTATTGATAACCATAAACTTAACTCTGCGATCCAGCTGTGTTTGGAGGGGAGCAAGGAAAATACGGACCCCAAAGAACTGCAGTAAGAGCACAGATGACAGGGTGTTTTGAGCAGGTGGGGCCGCGGGTGCCCTCCTGGGCTACAGGAAGGGTCTGGTGGTTGCGATACAGGCGTCACATGAGTGAGTGCTGCCCACAGTTGGTGATGGTGCTCTTCTTGCTGCTCTTGCCGTTCCTGGACCCGATGTG